CGCGTCCAGGGCGCGGCCAGCCCGCGTCCAGCGCGCGGCAAGCCCGCGTCCTGCGCGCGGCCAGCGCGCGATAATGCTAGATTGAATTTTAGAACGAAAAGCGCAATCTTGAGATGGTGAATACGATTTGGGCTATGAGTTAGGAATCGAGAATCGGTGCTTACGGCGAGCTGTTGAAGAAGGAATTGAGGGTCTGGTTCTATAGATTTGGCAGAATCTGATTCCGTGAGAGCCAATGAGACCGCGAACGACTTGTAGCCCAGTGGACTCTGGTTTCTGGGGAAGAATCTGAGAGATGTCGAACAGGGGACAAAGTTGGTTTTTCTGAAAGAGACGAGGGCAGTTGCGGAACTGAGATTCGAGATGGGTTGAAGGAGCGCAATACCCGCAAAAGCCATTTTCACCAAAATTCTGTATTTTTTTTTTTCTGTTTTGGTTTCGGTGTTTCCCACTGTTTTTTTTTTTTAACTATTATTAGTATTTTTTATTTTTTTTTTCAGTTTGATGGGATAAACAGAATCCAAAACTAGATTTTTAGAGTTCTCTAACGAGTTCAAATTCACATGTTCCCATATCCTGGGTGGCCCAGTCGGTCAAATATCCATGTATAGCACCAACGGTCCAATCACCAATCCTAGCTTAAACGGCGTCGTGTCCTCCCGAATCTTTTTTTTTAATCACTTTTTACATTTATTATTTATTATTTTTATTTAAATAATATCTCATGTTAATAGAGTGTATTTATCAAACAGTTAATACAAAAAATGATAAAAAGAATCACCCTAACATTTCTCCTCTCCACAAACTCTTTTGCTTTCTGATCATGTGGCTAGAAAACCATCAACGAATGATATGTTTAATCAGGTATTGGCTTTAGTACAAGGGCTAATATTAGGATACTAATTTGTTGCTCAGAAACAAATATGACTAATGTTGCTTTCTATCCCGGAATTCAATTGATACGATAAAATGCAAATACAACTCAAGAAGGCACAATATCATTACCTTATCATTAAAATGCCCAATTTGTGATTTCTATTTTCAGGGAAAAAAATAAAAAGTACAAGAAGAAGTAATTTTCTCATCCTACTTCATCTCGTCATCCTCCAACCTTGGCAACCTTTCTTTGCTCAACTTGCCCTGTCTGTGGGCATTGCATCTCTGTCCAACTAATTGGAACCATTGTTGCACCTGCAAAAGAAAACAAAAACACCACGAGTTAAGGCAGCGTTAGGAATTAATTATAGCGCCGCTAAAGACAAATATGTTAGGCATGCCTATGTTTAAAGAACTATGTACTTACCTGCCGCACTCTCTGCAGAGACAACACCCAATTCATTTTGTGCAGTTGATAGATAATATGCCCTTGCATCACCAAGAGATAACTTGTAAAGAATTAAGGAAAACTACTTTGTTAGCAACTGACAATGATTATAAACGTAGACAATTGCTGGAAACGAAATCATAACCACATAGGCACGGTGACTTCTTGCTGTGGAGTTGGCTCATAGTGAGAAACGCTTTCAAATCAATATATACAATTAGTGTAACACCAAATGAAATCTGAAGGATGGTCGCAGGCCCTTAAAAACTGCACCCGAGCTATTTCATTCCAATCACAATGGTCAGACTTATACTCGGTGGCATAATTTTCAATCCTAGTACATCGTAAATCCAGCAAGGACCAAACTTAAACCAGCATGACAGCATTTTGCAAACTGAAAAAAAAAGAGACTAAAACAACTAATGTCCCATGTTAATAAACTTGTAGTCATTTCGATTATCTAATTGCAGCTTTAGTCATGATTGCATGACTAAATCCGTTGCCATCTTAAAGAAAGGGCATGACATGGTCTTAGCTTTCTTTTGACTATCTTGCAAAATGCTGTTAATTAGTATAACAACTGCAACGGAATTTCATGCTCTCTTCCATACACTAGTGATAGAGGAACTTCATATAAAAGGATACAACAAGAGCTCTGACAATGTCACCAGCATGAAAAGATAAGTGCATATCCACTTTATCAATCTCTGTTGCTCTAACATCCTGTTGCCTGTCAAGAAAACAGTTGTTTTTACACATCGAAATATAAGCAAAAAAGCCTGTTAAAATGTAATATTAGGCTTAATCATTTTACACAATCAAAACTACATCACAATAGCTGAGCCAAAACAATTCACAATAAATTTCAGCTATTGTTTATCTTCATTGCAGAAACCACAAACCTAACATCATGAAACAGAGATAATATACACTCTAACCAAGGCCTTGTTTCGTTTGCCGTTCGAATTCTAGAATATGAACTGTGTGATTTAAACTACGATTCAAACCGGTGTTTGGATACGCAAATAAATTTGCAATTTGAATTGAGAATAAAATCCGAATTGTGTTTGGATAGAAAGTTAAAAACTGACATTAGAGTTTTGCAACAAATGTTATAAAAGTCATTGTAAAAGACAGATTTAAATAATGCAATATGAATGGGGATTTGTTCATCTCTTCATTATGAACATAAAGGAAAAAAAATCATCTCAATTGGAGTTGAAACGAAGAAGTTATGACATTTTTAAGTTTGAAGTCGAAGAGAGATAAAAAACAAAAAACAATTATGTTTGAACTATTCACAACAATTTAGATTGTTGAATTAAGGGGGACGGGGGCAGGTGAATTCTAAAATCAACAAGCCAAATTGTAGTTGGTTCTCTATATGGTCCCTCTTGTTTTATAACCAAACATCAATTGAACCTTGGGCACAATGTGAATTAAGGTGTTTGGTTCATATTAGTTGAACCAAACAGGGGGAAAATATCTTAAAATCAAAGTACCTAATTATGCCAGAAAATTTTTCCCTCACAGACTTGGTGCCAACGCACATGATGTCAGCAGAAGCCATTCTAGCCATCACCCTAGTAACCTATGAAATTCCAGAAAAAGAACATAATAAGATTAGAAACCGCAGTAGAATCTCCATAGTTCTATAACTTTATTCTTACAATAGTGCCCTCAGCAAAACCAAGTAATTAGCTATAAGTTTCAGCGCAAAGGTTATAAAATAGACACAAAGGAAGCACTTAGGGTCCGTTTAGTTTATGGGCATTTGAAATTTAAATTTTTTGTGAGAGAAAAATACTATAGCAGAACTAAAAATTGTGATTTGAACCGTATAGAACCCTTAAAACAAACGAACCTTTAGTGCCTTGCACAATAAGCTTATTACTAATAACACTCTTCAAGTAAAGCGCTCTTTGTAAAAATGACTTAATGAAAATGAACAGCCACTTTTTACAAAGATATGAAAATGAAAAAGATCATTTAGCCAATTTCACTTACTCGAGCAGTGACAATGGATCCAGGCTCCGGAACAGGACCATGGGCTTTGTGACCAGTTACTTCCACTGTAGGTCTCTGTAGGCAATAGAGATTTAGCACTTTATTATCACCGAAAGAATGTACACCACCATAATCTTCAACATAGACTTGGATTTCATTAAAGAAGCAATCAGAAAGAAACACCAGCAATTTCACACAAACACGATTCTCATACTCAATAGGTTTTAATGAAAATCTTCAAAGAAAATTAAGCAAAAGGTTTCTTTTTTTCACTAATGAAAGCAAAAAATGGGCTAAAACATCAGCTTATAATAAGTATACTGAATGTACAACTGAAAATTTCATTTCATAACCGGGGAAAAAAAAATCATAACTTTCGGTATCAATCGGTATCACCACAATGAAGAATGAAAAGGATTAGAAAATTTTTTTACAAAACTTTCTTTTGTTTTTTTCTCCAATCAAACGGCATAATAGGCATGAAACCCTAAAAGCCAAAAGAATTACAAACTAAAAATTAAATAGAGAGGAAGAGGTTAAGAAGAGGGAAGGTGAACCTGGTCAGGTGCGTCAGGAGGAGGGGATAGAATGCGGCGGAATCCAGTGAGAGAAGCGTAGACGGCGTGGTCCTGAGGAGACACGTACGCGCCGGCCCCAGCTTTCAAGTCGGAGGATTTCCCAAGCACCTCCCCTGGCGTCACCACCACATCTCCGTCTTCTTCCATTTTTTCAGTCTCTTGTTACTGTCTGTTTCAGCTTCTGTATCTGCCGAAGCTCAACCGAAAGCGAAACCAGCGAATGGCACTGTAGTGCTGACCCAGTGCTGAGCTTGCGGCGGGAAGAAGAAGAAGAGAAGAGAAGAGGAGCGGCTCTTGCTTCTTTTGTGTTTTGCTTGATAATAATGTATAAAAAGACATGTCGTTTTTGGAACGTGTTTTTCTTTTGTCGTTTAGTCGTACACTGTCGTTTTGAAGTCAGATTTCAAAAACTGCATGTCATACTCACAAACGACAAATATATATGAACTTCATATCGTTTCTCTATTTAAACGACGGTGCATTTACATGAAACAAATGGTTTTGTTCTTTTTTTTTTTTTTTTTTTTTTTTTTTTTTAAAAAGGTTTTTTTTTTTTTTTTTTTTTTTTTTTTTTTTTTTTTTTAAAAGAGTTCGTTTTACGTATTCAAATGACATGATTTATACTGTTGTTTCAATAACCAAACAACATGCCGTTCACAACTATGAAATCAAGGTCGTTTGTGTATAAAGGGACATCTCACATCTTATTAAGTTTGTTGTCGTTCAGCCATGAAAGTGACATCATGAGTCCGTGTCGTTTGAATCATAGAGATGTCGTTTAGTATAATGAGCGTTTGAATTACAAGTGTCGTTCCGCGGGATTTTTGAGATTTTTCATAACCCCGTTGGATTTTTTTTTTTTTCAATTAGATTAGATGTATATAGCTTTTTTTTTTATAAAAAAAAAAAATTATATATACCCCCTTAATTATTAAAAGCTCTAAATATATCTACAGCAAACCTCATTTCATTATTATATCAAAAGTGATCTGGAAAAAATTTCTTAAATGATCATTAAAATAATTATTTACAAAATTGTCCCTACTTAGGTATTTTCTTTTCACACAACTCTCTCAATTGTTATTTTACAAATATTTTTTCTCTAGTTGAAGTAATATTTATTTTTAAATGTGTCCTTTCTCAAACTTTTTTTTCCCTTACAACAATCTTAATTGCTATTTCTCATATTACCTTCTAGATAATTTTCTGTCTAAGTCGCCCATTAAAATTTTTATTAAACAAATATATTATACTTGCCTATACATTTATAATATTCAACCAAAAACACATTTTGATTGAAGTGTGCATTTCAATCAATTCAATTTTATTTTTTAACAAAACTTATCACTTCATCTATAAAATTGAATAAACTAAACATACATGTGTACAGTACATGATTCCAGCTAATTAGTGGTATTGTGAATTGATATTTTGAGTTAAAAACATTGTTCACATAACTCTCTAAAATAAAATTCGGCTTTGCTACGGTATGCAATATATATCACTATCACATTTCGTTCTTAGCGAAAGGTTTTTTTTTTTTTTTTTAATTAATGAAAAGGGTAGGACGTCAGGAGGATATCATGTTAATAGAGCAGATTGAAACAAGAAATTCATATAGCCGACTCTAATTAATTTGAGATTAAGACTTGTATTTGTTGTTGTTGTTGTTGTTGTTCTTTAATGAAAAGGGTGAGTAACTGAGACATCAAAAAAAAAAAAAAAAAAAAAAAGAATGAAAGAGGATTAAGTAAAAGAGACATGTCATTTTCGGTTAAAAAGTTTGCTGTAATTTAGAGGAAACAAAACATGTCGTAGATTTATGAAATATTGAAATTTTAGTTTTCGTTTAGAATGAAAACTTGTTTCTTTTAAAATTTTCCCTGTTATATAAGACATGTCGTTTTCTTGAAAAGGAAAAGGACTGTTTTTTATTCTGGAATTAAGCTGTCGTTTACAAGAATAAACCACGCGTGATCTTTCAATGTAACATTAATTTGATGGACGTGTCGTTTCAATCTTAAAGTTTTCCCTCTTGCATCTCTTGTATTTTTCATTTTTCTAACATAACTTATATTTCTCTTTTGTTTCTAACAATTCTAAATATAACATACATTTATTTATAAAACTTACTTTTAGCGTGATTACCCATCAACCTTTGTCAAATGAATTAATATAATCATATAATTTCAATTCGTTCCATTATAGACTCGGTATAAGCTTTTGTTGTTGTTGTCTTTTTCAACCAAAGTTATTCCCTTAGCTAAATATATTATTTTATTTGTTATAAAACAATAATGCCGTATGAACACCGTTATTTTGTCTGGTTCAAATTCGTGACATGATTTAAGAAAGCAATGTTAATATTCCATCCAAGAATAATTAAGATCACCACTTTTCCATATCATTGGCAAATACAAAATAAGATATAGCCCGTATAACTTTCATTTTGAGGGAAAAAAAAAATTGGTGATTGGAATACAAAGGAATCCACCAAAGTAGCTTTAGCTCCAAAATTCCACTGAAAAAGAAGAAGAGGAAAAAAAAAAAAAAAAAAAACAAAAGAACAAGCTTTAACAAACACTTGTACTTTCAAAAACATGAATAAAACAAGTAAGAGCCACCACTTTGTGGACATTTATAGTAAAAAGAAACATTTTGATATAAGAAATTCAGCGTGTTAATTATGTCGCGGTTAACTAGCATTTTGGATCGTCTATAGTGTTTAAACGACATCATTTGACCAGTGCAAACTTAGGAGTTGAGTCAGTGAGATGGAAAAACTCATTTAGCTTTTTGCTTCTAACTAACTACTTGCACATGTTATTAAATGTGGAGAATTATAATGGTGGCTATCAACTCTCACGTGCACAAAAAAAATTACAAACGACAACGAGAGAGAGAGAGAGAGAGATGCTTTTCTTTGTGTTCATAACATATAAAACCTCCCTTAGCTGACCACTGACCGGTCAAAAAGAACAAAAAAAACACGTGTCCGCAAGTGGATTGCTGATTCATTTTGTTCTTTTACATCATCTTTTGGAGCATTCGTTGACTGATCACCATGATATTGATCAAGACCATCAGAACCAAAAACGACACCAACTCTGAGATTTACATCCCCTCTCCATAGTTAGAATCCATGAAACATATAGTAACAACTACAAACTGAAAAATCACTATATATAATATGTAATTTCCTTAACATGCATATATATATATATATATATATATATAATCTATTACATGATGAACACTAATTAGTCTAAGATGAAGGAGAATCAAATTTGTAATATTTATCAACCGCAACTAAGATGTCCCATGTGCAACTAAGTCCCTTAGGAATGATTACAAGATCTCCTGCTCCAAATTCTACAAACTCATGATCTGATGACGATGATGATGAGCCTTTTGGATACACCTTAACCTTGCCTTTCAGCAAATAACATGTCTCCGAAGCGTCAAACTTTAGAATGAACTTCCCCGGCGGACATCCCCATCTATAATCAAAACCAAAATGAAAAAGCACAATTTTTCTATAAAATTAGAGAAATCATATATAGAAACAAGCTGATTAAATTTTACATATATATTGTATTAATACTCACTTGGGCCATGAGTTAATACCGAGTTCTGATAAGCGCGAACTAGAGGGATTGCTTTCAACTATGATCTTCAGATTAGGAGATGAATCAGCTGATTGTGATTTGGTAGCCATGAGAGAGAGAGAGAGAGAGAGAGAGAGAGAGAGAGAGAGAGAGACTAGTGAAAGGAAGAAAGTGAATAAGGATTAAGAGATCAGAAGAGGAAGAAGATATTGAAAGAGACGGGGCTGAGAGAAAGAGTTAAGGGGTAGTTGGCCTACTTCTGTGTAATATATAATGAAAAAGGCTTTAGTTGAGGACCGAAGAGAAGGAATCTTTCCATGAAAAGGCCAAAATAAATTTAAGCAATGGTCTAGAGGATGAACCTAATAAATTCATATGCAGTTCTCTGATCTCACTGTATAAAGAAGAGCTTTTATTGCATGTGCGGATATTAACATTTAAGTATGAGAATTATGTTAGATATCGGTATTGGGTAAGACACAGTTCTCAACTGTTAGATGAAAAATTAGATTAAAAAAGTATAACAATTTAAGGGAATTTTGACTAATATCTAATGAGTTTATATTTCTTTGAGGTCTTACTAAAAGTTTTGAACTAAAAAAAATGGAAATTGTGTTTGTAACTAATAAAACTCAAGAAAGGAAATCAAAAGGCTTATAATTACGAGTGTGAAAACCAACAAAACCGCTTATTTTAGGTGAAATGTAAACCAAACCAATTATAAATTAGTTTAGAGATTTTTAAACCAAACTAAACCAATTAAGAGATTTAATCCAATCCAAACTAACCCGATTGTAATTAGTTTGGTTTGGTTTCTCTAATTAGTTTGAATTAATATTTTATAACTTCTTCCTAAGTCTCAACCATAACTTGTATTAATATTTTGTGTGTTTTTTGTGTCTTTCTCTCTTTCTTTTAAAGACAAAATGAAGTCAAAGCAATTCAATTATAGATATATTTATAGATATGTTTATATAATATTAGTTGTGACTCATAATTGTATATGATATTTAGCTTTTTTAAATATACGAAAGAAAATGAATATAGACAAGTCTGAGACACTTATTACAGATGCTATATTCATGTTAACAAAGAGGATATATTTTAGAGAGAATCACGATTAGAGCCTAGAGGAGTAGAGAATGAGAGGAGATGAGAGAAGCGGAGAAAACTTGAGGGTAAATCATGGAGATAGTGTTAGTATCATATATATAAGTTATGGTAGAAACTTCTAGAGTTATAAAATAAACGAGTTTTCTAAATACAAATAAGTTATAGATACATAAAATATTTTTAAAATTATATAGATAGAAATTGATTTGGTTTGTTTTGGTTTTTCTAAAAGTAAACTCACAAATAAGATCAATTTAATTAGTTTTTAAACAATTTAAACCAAACCAAACTGAGATTATTAGTTGGTTTGGTATGGTTTTTTTTTTGTTTGATTTGGTTTAATTGGTTTGTTGGACACCCCTACTTATAATCATGTTACATTTATTTCATATGAGTTTTTGGGTATCTAATAAATTGCTAGCAATGAGCGATTATTTTCTTACCCTCATAATTTCTCGCCTTTAATTTTAGGATTGGGATGGATGTTTGTCAAGAATGACATCTGGTCAAAGAGTTGAATTTGTGGGACTTGGCAGTTGGCAGATTGTAAGTGGCTTTATTATTAATGTTTCGAGGATGTTTGACTACGATGATTAATATTAAAATGAAGTCATTTGAATGGTTTTTTTTTTTTTTTTTTTTTTTTTTCTGCCGCATGTATTTTGCACTAAGTGCACTGAATTGGATGTCCTAGTCAGAACACAAAGTTGGGTTAATTTGTATTACTGTGTAAGAAATTCATGTTCTCTTCTCATATCATTAATGGGTTCGGTTCATTGCCACGATCAAATGGATTGTCATTTTTAGCATCATTTATAAATTTTTTTTATATAAAAAACGCATATATATATATGTGTATATATATGTATAGGCTAATAGTTTCCTAGAATCAAAACGCTTGCGTTGCATTATGAACCCCTGAATTATATAAATATAAGCTATGAATTTCAGTGTATTTTTCTTTTAAATATATAAAAAAAGAGAGTTATAGTTTGATGCATACATAGCATTCTGTAGCGGCTAAACTTTTGTTGCTTTTATTGTGCTCGTGGAGGGTGATTTCTACGGTTGAATTAATTTATAACAAGAGCTAATGATTATTTTTAAGCTTTAACTTAAATGTCTAGTCAATTTGAGTCGACATAAAATAAGAATAAAAAATGTGAAATACAATAAAGTAAATAAAAAAGGGAGATGGAAGATTTTTACAATGGTTCACTTCCGATATTAAGGTTACATCTAATATAGAGTTTTGGGGTTTCACGATAACATAAAAAAAAAATACAATTATAATGAATGGAGAGCAAGAAAGAGAGTGAGGAGGGTGATATTGTGGCAGAAAATATAGAAGGGGAGACAATCTAAGGATCCTCCGACAATACCTTATTTACAAGGGGTTAATATGTATAATAAGAGATGAGGTACGAAATCTAACATCAACAGTACTTAATTAACGTTGCACATCATTTTGATACAATGTTGTGAGCATCTCGTAAAGCTGAATGAAATACATCACTTTGCTTATTTTCTCATGAATTTTCAAGTGAAAACTGATTGAGGCTCAAACGTGGTAGCCATTTCAATTATAGACAATAAATCGTTTTCACCTACAAATCTCAAGCTCATATTAATGCGAGATAAATGGGCGTCGTGAGGGACTTATCAAAAGCTAGGCTATAGAAAACTAAAATCATGTCATGAATCTAAATTAACATATAATTATTGACAAGAAAAGAGGCCAATACAGCAAGCACTTGCATGAGTATATATGGATATAATTAGGAATTTATAATATATATATATATTTCTCTATTAGGATTAGTGTCAATGCATTTGAGTTATATAGGATTTATCTAAGTTATTAATTTAGGTTATAATTATCTATTATGATTATTTAGGTTTTATTAGTTAAGTTTGACTGTTATTAAATTTACGTGTCATTAAATGGAGCATGTATTTGCATTAAGAACACCTTTGATGATTAATTAAATAGAAATAGTTCTCTCTAAATTCTTACACTTCTCTCAATTCTTCTCCTCCTCCTTTTCTTCTTCTATTTGTCTTTCTTTAATCAATTTGGTCCTACGTATTTGTATTTGATAATCGTCGAAAGACTTTAACTAAATAACTGCAAATTAAGGGTATCAAAAGAACAATCTTCTAGTACTAATTACGTATATTTAATAGCTACAATATTGATAACAAAGCATATTACACATTAATACCAATTCAAAATTGAAAACACTGCTATTTCCACGCCTGTTTTTGCAATGCGTTACTCTCATCAGACACTCTTGCTTTTCAATATCTTTCAACAAAACAGCTAGCAGAAACAAGAGTGGAAATAGCATATTGACAAATTCTAATTACATCTTTTAAAGAATTTGACAAAAGAGATTAAAATCGGGACGTAGTAAATTAATTATACATCTTTCAAAGACAGAGACAGTGAAGAAAATATATGATCATCGGCATTGCGGATTATTCCCAGGCCCACCATAATAGAAATATGTGCCCCATTCATTGCTATAGAAGCTCTTGATGTTGTAACAATTGGTGTTCTCAGCTAAGGTTGAGATGCCATGGACCGAGCTGAGGCTATTGTCCGAGTCCACAATCTCTAGGTTCCTGAAGTAGCTCGCTTTTCCGAACCCGTCTTCAGCGAAATGACCCGAACCCATCTGCGTGGCAGTGTGTTCACCGCTCGGCCGCGTGTTCACAACCTCACCGCCCCACTCCACCATGGTGGCATGGTCCGCTAAGTGGGTAAACAACTCGGCTGGCCAGTATCCTACTAGGGTATTGTCTCCAAATCCCATCCACCAGTTTCCAAGCTTTGGATCCTATTTGTATTAAAAAAAAAAAAAAGATATTTGATCTATAATAATCTATAATAACCTATAATATTGAAAGTAAAATTTAGGTAATATAAATTTTTATATATTTATTACCTTCCAGATGAGAATGGTTATATCATATTGATTGCCGGAATATGATGATACTGGAGAAATGGCAGCTCCAATAGCAATTCTACTATTAGTTTGCACAAATCCTGCGCACAGGAGATTGTAGCACCCCGTTGCTTGATAGGAATCCGTCTGTAATTGACAAAAGAAATAAATTCATGAAATATAATTAACACATTGTTTAATTAGTTGCAATAATGCTAAACACAAATTAAAACACAAAAATACAAATTAAGACCTCTTTTTTTTTAAACGTGAGTTTTTGCAAAGTGTTTTTTTCAAAAAATTCCTTTCAATGTCCACAACAGTACTATATAAACCGGTATTTTTATTTCCAACTAAAAGACATTATCCATGCAATTCGAGTAGTTCCAACATCTTCCCTTATTCCCATGTCTCGGTGTAATTTTGCATATAAATGCTCGAGCCTATATAAATACTATAAAACTGACTTTTAGAGTGTCTAGTTTTCTTGTTAATAAGTTCTAGGAGTCAAATCCTAGAGTGGCATTAATTTTGTTTCTAAAGCAACATGAAAAAGTGCATTCAATTCAAGCAACTTCAATTCCAAGATGTCATTAATTATAAGGACTTGCATCTATTTACATCTACATTGGTTTCAATATTCTGTATTAATCATTTGGACAAATTATTCATCTTTCTTTTAGAGCAAGAAAAGTTATATTGCTTTGAGGACAAATGGAAGAAATATGCATAATTTGAGAGATCATTAATACCATTACGATGAGTGTATAATATCCCTTTTCATTATTACTACTTACAAGGTTGTTAAAGCTAATCACTTTGTCTCAAATATATTGGATGCCCCTCTCGAATAATTTATTCTAATATATTATACAAGTGTATAATATAGTACTATATAGTATATAGGATTATACAGATACATATACACGCATTTTTCGCTATGAAAATTACTTCTCGGTCAAACAAAAGAAAATTAGTTTCCAATAAAAATTTAGGAGCATATTTATTAATATAAACCTTGATGGATTAACCACTAGATATGGTTGACTTTGACCTCTAGATAAAGAGAGAATCATGGAGGTTTGACCATAAGGAAGCCCTCCACATGATATTTCATGAATGATTCTTTCTTATTAAGTATTTTATAAATTCGGTGCATTACACTAAATAAAGATAAAATGAGATAATTTAGTTGACAATTAAAGGAAAGAGAGATCTTACCGTCCAGTAAGTGAACAATCTTGGCCTGCTGTCACCATAAAGCTCCGGACTGGCCTGACTAGTAGAATAATCAAAGCTTAAGAAGATTCTTAAAAATGAAAAGGAAATTTTTTTTCGACCGATAGTATCAGTTTCTGACCGTTAAATTTTAAAAAATAATATCAAATTATAAAAATATACATAACAAATGATACAAACGGCTAAAAAATAGAGAACTATTAATAATTTATTTTTTCTGGTTCAGAATCTCTTTTATAAAAAATATAATATTTTTTTTACCACAAATAACAAAAATGCAAAGTGTATTACGTGCACGTGCGTGCGTGTGCGCAAGTTTCCGTTTTCTTTTTCTTTCCTTCGAAGTCAGCAAAGTTCGAAGTTCTATTATCTATCTAAAAATAATTTTTAAAAAAAAGTTTGATATTTTTTCTCGAAAGGATTAAATGGATAAAAATAAAATAAAGATTGTTGGATTGTGTGCGGGGTAGGACAGGAAATGGAAGGAGTACCTGCCATCCGGCTTCGATGCTGTTGAGATCTGAGCCGTCAAATGAGCCAGAGAGAACCCAAATCTGGGAGAGACTGAACTCGTTGACCACTTGAATTGATGGGTCCCACACGTTTATTGTCGCCTTTGCCCCGTACACTTCTTGGGATGTTCCCGTGTAGGCGATCGCATGCTAGTAAACGTGCAAACAAATTAATTTTTTTCAAATATTGTCAAGCAGCTAGCTTAAAGAGCTTTAAATTGAAGCAATAAAAAAAAATAAAAAAAAAGGTAAACAAACGAACAATTAAATAATTAGAATAAAAGACAAACAAAATCAATGGCCCTTTCAAGAAATTGAATTAAACAGTGATGAAAAACGAATTAGATTATAACAATAATTAGTGATATTCTATTTTAATTGCTTATCGTTTTTTTTAGTGTCAGATTAAATATGGTCGATACCAAATCTTCTCTTAAATGGTCAATTAATGATGAGATCTCAAAAAGGGTTATTTCTTATGCTTTACAACACTATTCCAGTGAAACTTAAATGAACCTGATAATTAATTCAGAAAAAAAAAATAATTATACTTATAAGAACACGGCATTGTTGTTATTATTAGTAATTGCTTGAAGAAGAAGGTATTAGTTAATTAGATTCATTACATGTCCTCTTCATGCAGATTTGCATTTAAAACAGCGCTCTTTCTCTTTAATAATTAATGGGTCATATATATTTCAAATGAACAAGATAATGACTGAGAATCCCCTTAAAAATAGGAATATATTATATCAATTTGTTAACACTGATCATAATGTGATCCTTCATTTTATTTTTCATGTAAAAGCATATAATAAATATCTAGAAATACATGTACACAAGGCCTTCTGAAATCAATATTTAACTTCCCTTTAAACCCTTATATAATTAAGCCTTCTTAATGATGAATTGATGAGAAAGATCATTATATAATATCATCATAATCATGAACATGCATATGATAATGGACAGATCATTTCATGTCCACTCAAAAACTCATCTTTTATTATTATTATTATTATTATTATTATTATTATTATTATTATTATTGTTTAAGAAAAGAAAAGAAACAAGAGGAATTAGAATTAGAATAAGAATAGTACTAATTTACCTCATGGCCATTGCCGCTAACAACATCAGGAGCATCAGAATGCCTATGAAGAGAAAACTTGCGTTGCTTCTTGCCAAAGTCAAACAAAGACTTTGCTCTCAACACATCGTGGACCGTGCTGCGACGAATGGGCACGGTCCCTTTTGGACACCTCGTCCCGTTTTTGTGCCACATTTGCCATGCGTCTTTCATCACCTTCTGATCATCTTTGTTGATCATGTTCCTATTCAGCTGATCATCACTTGATGATGATTTCTCCTCGTTTTCCTTCAATGTTGCCTTATTCTTTGTCATTTTAGGCATCTCTGGTGGCTTTTTCTGTAATTGCAAACTTAAACATAATCAGAAGAACCCACCCCTAAGCACGAATAAAAACGAAAAGTACATTAATGTATGTATCTAGGTAGAGATAGGTATATCCTCTCTGACATGTTAGATATTATACGTTGTAAGTTTTAAACACCCTTCTGAACACGAAACTTGAAAAGTTGGGAAAATTTATTATTATTATTATTATTAAAAAAAAAAGTGTGCAAATTAAATTTAGGCAAACTTTTAGTACCTGGATCTTGTGATTCTTCAAAAGAGGGTGATCCAAAGCTGGTTGTCTTCTTTTGTGAACACAATCAATGATATCTCCATCTGGGCTCTGCCAACATCAAAGAAAAGCCACATGAAGAACTTAGAAACACCCAAAAAAAAAAAAAAAAAACCCAAGTCTTAAAAAGTTGCACATGATATAAATAATATACGCTTACTTGTATGGTTATCACAGCAGGCTTGTTAATCTTGTCCAAGTGCTTTTGAATCCTCACTAGTCTCAAGCTACTAACTTGTCTGTACTTGGTGTAATTTAGTCCCAAGACGACTGTAAAATTTTCAACAAAAATGGTGCTGAAAAGGAAGGCTATAACAAGAGGAAGAAGAGCGTCTGAGAACGCTCTCTTCCTTCCAAGAATACCCATATCTCATTCAGTGCCAAGAAAGCAAAAGATCCCTCCCCCCCCACCCCCAAAAAAGAAAAAATAATAATAAAATAATAAAATAAATAAATAAACACTAATATGGCTTACACCCCATTACTAGTTTAAAACAAAGAGCAGAAACAAAATCTGACTTTTTTTTCCCCTTGATAATATATATCACTAGCTAGCACCAAACACCAATACAAACAACAAAAAGAGAGGAATGGAAAAGGACTTCTAACAAGGCAAAGCCTTTGAACTTCTCTCTCTCTCTCTCTCTCCTTCCTTTCTCTCTCTATTTTAATGGCGGGGAAGGAAAGGTGGGTGGAGAGTAATTAAAAGATGAGCCCTGCACAGTTTATTTATTTACTCTTTTTTTTTTTTCTAGCTGATGGGCATAGATCAGATTCAGCATCAAAGATCATCATTGCCTTGCATTGGTTTCATATATACTGATTTATATGATCAGTTGATATGAAGCTGATATCTCCTTTTTTTTATTGATTCTGCGTTTCTTTTTGGAGTTGCACAACTTTGACAAGGCAAGGGATATTAAAGAAGAGTGAGAACAATGCCAAGGCCTGGCTTCAAAGCATTATAAAAACCAAGACCTACCCAACTGAAACAAACCCCCTCTTTTATTGCACTCCTCTTCAATGTTCATATCTGCCCACCATATATACACTTTCCCATGTATATTATATTATATACATATATATTTATATGTATTTATATATTGTTTCCTTCTTTTTTTTTTTTTTTTTTTTTTTTTTTTTTTTTTTTTTTTTTTGTTGCCCTCCCTCTATTTAGCTTCAAACCGCACACCCTTCTTCTTGCTTGCTAATTTTTTCTTTCTTTACTCCACAGTCTCTCCATTCCTTGCTTACCTTTTTTTGAAAGACTGTCTCAACAAAGTTACACTCAATTGCCATGCTTTCTACCTTGTGGTGCCGCCACGTGGCACTACCTCTTAATTTTTTTCCACCTAAATTAGTGTAGGTGGTGTACATCTGAATGTGAATGCGATACGTCACCGTCTAATAATAATTAAATAAGAAAATAGAAAGACAAAAGTCGGATAAGTTACTGATCATTACTAAAATCAGGAGATTACCTGATTCGAAAACAAATACGAATAAAGTCTAAATTATATTAGTATTAGGGGACGTTTATTTTCTGTATTTGTCTCTGATTCTGAATCATGATTTATGGTTCTCTATAGTGTTTTTCTCTCACAAAAAACACACGTAAAACGAAAATAATTCTGAATCTATGAACCAAACGGCTACTTAATCTTCGTTGATACAAGTTTTCACATTTACGTCAAGTATAAGTTGATTATAATATGGATTTATAAAAATGAAAGCTAATAATATTTTATTCTATCTTAATTTCTTACAATCATTTGGTATGTTACATAAAATCACAACAAGTTGGAAAGATTAAAGATCATTTTTTTTTAGCTTTTCTACTAAACGGATTAAAAGCCGCTATGATCCAAGTAAAGAATGCTATTACTCCGTATATGAAGTTTGGGAAAATGAGGTTTAATATTGTGTAAAGTTATTTCCTGTTGCATCCATTTAATTAATACCGGAAAACGAAGCAAGGAGAGAGACCCTATAAACATATAAATACACACACACACACACACACACACATTGTAAATGTTATGAAAATATATATTAGAATTCCTTACATGTATATGTACAATGGGAAAATTGATTCTAAAGGCTTATTTTATTGATATCCTCAAGTTGTTAATTAAAATACTAATGAGTTGGACACTCTGAGGATGATGAAAACCAAGAAAAGAAAAGAGTCATTTGTGGAAATTTCAACGTAATGGGGAGGCTCCTATGATGCTTAGTTGTTGTGATTAGAGAATTGTGGGCATTGGGTCGCAAGCAATCCCTTGATCTAAGCCGGAAATGCACTCTTCTCCATGTGGAATATGTACATATTACATTAAAAAAATGCTAGTAAATGCAACAACAACAAAAAAATAGTATAATGGTTCTAGAATACGGAGATAATAAATATGGGTTAAATTCAATGGGGCGTAAAAACCTTCTATTCTCGAATCTCGAATGCTTTTTTTTTTTTTTTTTGGCTCATTAATACAGAAAAACTTCGTTGTCAGCCTCTTAACTCCTATAACCCATAGTTGGGATCGACTCAAGATATTCGAATATTCAAAATTACTCAAATGTCCTTCATGACTATTTCGTGATATTTTCACTTCAATATCTCGCATGAATTCAAATAAACTCCTCGTATCCAAATTTTGTTTTCCTCACACATTTACATGTATGCATATATGTATATATAGATGTATATATAGAGAGAGACTATATATGTTTTGAAAATGTATGCAAGCATTTATTATGAAACAGTTACTATTCGAACCTTTCATAAGAAATGAGATTGATCTGTCATCTACGTGACAATACTCATTAAGGAATAGCAATACCTGAGCTAGATACTTGCAGGGTTCCAAATCCTAGGAATATTGATAACATTGTTTGAGGATTGGACCGACAGCGAAGCGAATTAGGTAGAACAAAGGTTGGTTAAAAGATAATACATACATATATAGAAGAAGGTATACTTAATCATTGCATGCATGGATATAGTTGTCTTAATTTAGATAAATAAATATTTTATTATGACGTTGACATTCCTAAATCCTTATTCGAATTCATTAATTGAAGAACTCAAGCTTCATCATATGTGTAACAAGTGGATTACGAATAGATTTCATTAATTTAAACACATCTAGCTAATTGATAATCTTGTGTTTTGCACACCATAATGGAACTTATCAATCTCATATACGCTACAGCCACATTAAATGGATTTTAAGTGCAATGTGGATATCTATTCAGTCCCCAAAAAAATAAAAATAAAAACAATTGCAATGTGAATATCTTGTAGGTTTTTTATAGTTATTATTCTGGTTTTTTGTCCAACCCTTACGATATTAAAAACTCTATATACCATAAATTCCAAGATCCTGACGATTGTATGACCACATAATGTTTGGTGTGTATTTCTTCTTTCTTTCTTTTCTTTTTTTTTCCATTTATTTTCTCTCAGAAACTGCTTTGACAGCGCGCCTTAATGTCGTATGGTTCTTTTTAATCGCGGCGATACTACAAGCTGCAGGGACCAACCTTCTGATAGGGGCATTTTAGCCATTGCACAGTGTGCTTGCTTTCAAGGCAAGAAGCTGGCATGAATGAAGACTTTGGCCGTAATATTTATTATTTGCGTCACCTAACTATGCAAGCGCCTGGCAAGATTACCAGATTGACCTTCAGTCTTCATGCTCAGTAGTCGTCTTTCTATTTCTCTTTCTAACGGAGACATGGCTTTGCTATCACTCGATCGATGCCTCTAAGGAATTTTAACGGCCAAGGGAAGAAAAAAAACCGTGAGTCCCACAGTTGGCCGAGACTTTTCAGCTAAGCAGAGACATCACCAACCACGTCAAATATGACATATTTTCTTCTTTATGTGGCATTTGAAAGTTCTCATCATATACTACACATATTACCCAAGTTTGTATGTCATATGCATGTCCGTGAAGAACTATAGATATAGCTATATGTATTAGTTTCACGTTGGAGGTGTTGCATAGTGGTGTGGCGGCTGGTGGATTGTTACTGTCAGGCGGGCGGCAAGAACCACCTGTACTAGTTCAAAATTTGAGCTTCGACAAAATAGGTACCTCATATTTTGCAACCACATTAAATAATGAAGCACAAAAAGTGGGAGGGAGAACAAGACTCCAAATGTGGGCAATTAATAACTACGTATCTTGCTTCACTATGAGTTTATGACCTAGTTAAGGACGAAAAGATATTGTGAAAGGAAAACATGCGAAGAAACAATTGAGTATAAATTATAGACTTTTAAAATCTACTTTTCTTTTGTATCCCTTCAAATTCAATGAAAAAATTAGGCTTAAAAAGTGGTACATTTGCATAGCGACTAGAGCGGTATTCCTCTAATTCTTGCATCAAGATCATACATCATTTCTACCGACTCATTGAAGATATTTCAGTGCTACTGTAACTAACAGAGAATCAAAGTGCAAATGCGCCACTTTCATTTTATTTTTATTTTTGGGGAATGAGCCCACAAGAGCAGGAGAAAATATTGCGACGTTTTTCTTTAAAATAGTTTTCTTTTTAGTCTCGACATGAACGCGGATCTTTAGTCCAAAAAGGCTGTTATATCACGTGAGCCTGTGCATGCACATACAAGAATAGAAGTCTCGACCAAGGCATGCAGATTTCCTACAGGAAAAGAAAACATGGAAAGTTGGCCCTGAGTTTTATCTTTCGTACTTTGCTCATTTTGTTTGCAGTCAGTCAATAAATACATGGAGGCCACCATTGCTCATTAATAAGTATAGAAGCTCCAATGCCTCGCCGCAACAAGTACATTTACCAGAAACAAAAAAGAACAAGAATCGTTACAATCGGGAACAGCTCTTCATAAATTTTCATCATCCCTTCAATACATTTGGTAAGATAGCAAAAATGGCAGCAACAGAAACGGGATTAAATTACGAAATACCTTAAATAATAATTACTATACATTATCCTCGATATTATTGATGACTGCGTTTGATTAAGAAACACCCATGTCCAAAAAATTGGGTATGAAGCTTTCTATTTTTCCTATCTGTGGATAATTTTTGTCTGTGAGAACAATGGTCTTCCAAACAAATTTGACCGCGCGGAGTTGTGGGTGGCTTGAAGACCAAAACAAAAAAAACAAAAATCAGCCGCTTGTCGAGTCGTCTTCACTGTCTTCACTGTCATCACTGCATTTATATATTAAAAGAAAAAATTAAAGCAGCAGCAAGAAACATTTAAAAAAAAAAAAAAAAAAAAGAAAGAAAAGAGAAATCAAAGAATGAAGCAGCTGAGAACTTTCAATGCAATTATCATCTAGGTTGGCCATTTTAAATTCTGCAGACCATGAGTTAATACTATAGACTTGACAAACGTGTTGTTCTAAGAAATATACCTATGATCCGGAAACTTCGATAATCGTCTAGCATCCAAGCCTGTGATGAATTTTTGGGCAGCTTGGACATTTTCAGTACCTGCAAGGAAATTAACCAAAACTCTTTGTAGCAGTTCGCTCTTTGCTTTGAAGATTATAGCATTGAAGTTTGCATAAAATGTTAGTGGTCCAGTGAAATTTTTGAATGGTCAAAGTGATAGAGAGCTCATGCAAGTTACCCCCAGAAAATACCCTTAGACTGCAAATAGAAGAAAGAAACAAAGAGTAACAGAAACAGAAGAAATTACCCTTTGTCAGTTGGAAGATATGCAGAGCACATCTTTCAGCTGCAAGTCTCACGGGAGTACTTCCGTCCTTCAAACACTCACCAATTGCAGGACCAATGACATTAACATGGCCTGCAATGACTGAAGGATTTGCCTGCCATACAATTTGCAACAAATTAGAACCCTAGAAAATCCCTAATCCACTGTGCACTAAAGTTAACGTTACATACTTTAGCAACTGCTTTGAGAGAAGATAATGCCCGCCTTCTGACTTCACTGGATTCATCATGCAAAGCTGACACAAGGCACAAAATACTATCCAAATGTGTGGAAGTGTTGGATGGATCACTCTGAACTAGATGAAGTAGAAGCCTTCCAAATGCCTTAGTCGATGCGTCACGGAGAGGGAACTGCTTGGAAAGATAAAATTTGTCAACGATTGGCAAAATGTTATCATGAAATGTGTCTACATCTACATCAGGATTGAAATACCTTTTCATCTTTCAAGGTGCCTTTAAGATGGCTCAAAATAGATGGAAAAACTGTAGAAGTACAAATTGCAGATGGATTGTGCCTGAGCATTGATGAGACTGTGAGTACCGAACCATGCCTAGCAGACCAGCTAGGAGCGGACGTCAAATCGGAGAGTTCCTGAAGCAGCTCAGTTAGCTGAGCATCTTCCATGTGCTGCAATATTGTCAAAAAACAAAAAAAAACAAAAACAAAAAGGTCAACAATGACTTATATATATATATATATATATATAACAAGCATCACAAGCAAGGGATTTCGAAATGAGAATAGAAATTGATTTCACGAGCATCGGTTGAAAGAATAAAACACAAGTTCTAAATCAAAATTTTACATGTCCTTTTATAAGATTTCATCATTATGGATTTGTGTCGACGTTTGTATGTTGTCTTAAATTTTGATTCTTGTCCATTAATACAGTCCGTAAGATACCATCACAAGTAAAAGTAGTCATGCTAATTCTCTACAATAACAGCCAAAATAGAGAAGAAAAATAAACAAATGTAACATCATACCTGTGATGTAATACCCAATATGCTTGCAGCAGATATCCGAACCTGATCATCATCGTGATGAATCAAATCGTTCATATTAACATAGACACGAGTTCTGACAGCACTGCTAACACTCTTCCCAGCATGCTTCAGAACACCTTTCAAGGCAGACAAAATTGCCTCACGAACACCAGCATCTGACGCCTGAACAGTCAATCCCAGCACCTTAAGTAAAGTCATGTTAGAATCAATGCGCATCATGATGCAAAATAATAAATCACCTGCAAACTGGTTAGGAGGTCGCCCACTAAAGGGTCAATCCTGGTACTGAGAGCACTAAGCTTCCCAAGTGCAAGGGCAGCACTTGAACGTACGGTCCTGCACTCAGCAATGGTATTGATTGATCTTAATAAACGTATCATGACAATGGTTAGATCACTTGACGTATCATGACAATGTTACTTTATTCAAAAATTGCACATATGACTTTCACTATGTCAATACGTAACTATGACTTGGAGAAAAACCCCTGAGAGTTGAGAAGGAGACAAGCAAAATAAAATGTTAAACTAATGCCATCCAAAGTCCAAACCTAACCTTGTGCCATCCTGTAGACACTTAACAAATGTCGTTTGCAACTGAGGAAGAAATGGTTTCAGGGCCATCCCACCCTTCCTTATCATGATGGTTAAGGTAGATAGAATGGCACTCTTCACCTGCCAAGGGAACCGATCACCTATTATCCGAATTAGAGGCCTGTTGTCAAAACGAAATAAAGCCAAAATCAGATCCAAAAACATTGAAGATAGGAAGTCATAACAAGCATGAGAAACTCTCACGTAAGAGCTAGAACTTTGAAATCTACCAGATCCCAACATGAAAGAAAGCTGCCTTGGGTCATTAAAAAAGTAATATGATTACCTTTTATTATAGTGAAAATTAGTATGGATTTTGCCTTCCAGTTGTTTGGAAAAGAAATTGATATTTAATTTCTAGTACTTTATTGGCATCTCTTACATAGATTAATAAATAACATAATATGTAGGCACACACACATGTAGACTATCCAAAGAGGCATTTTCTGCATTTTCTCCTATCGACGAAAAAAAAAGGAGATATTATCCGATCACCATTTATATTAAAGTAAGAGGTATTATCTGATCACCTTTTATATTAAACTATATACGTCGCACTTCTATAACTTCCAGTGTTTCTGGGGGCAATAATAGATTTCTACAAGTTACAAGTTAAAAATGACACATGACAACTTTTAGTGTATATTCTACAATGTACAAAATTCAGTGGCACATACCCCGTAATTGGGATGACAAACTCTTTTAATGCTTGTTCACTAGTCACTTCAATCAGTTCTCCAAGACCAAGTGCTGACTGTTCTCTTAACTCAGCAGATCCACTTATCAGACCCTGTAGAGGAAAATACTAAAATGAGATCCAACTACACGAGCATTAGACAGATATACAATAGAGATACCACAATAAAGAATCGGGCCAATATCTTCCCTGATTCATAAAAAATATGCTCCTGAAAACTATTCTTGTAACGACTTAAACCAAAAAAGTTCACAACTAAGACCTTTCCTGTTGAACCTCACCAAGGATGAAAAGAACATGGTAGCAAGCAGAAAGACCAGGTATGAGAACTAAAACAAATGTAAATAATACAGAAACAGAAAACAAGACAGGAAGTTCTTATTGCATATAGTTTGAGACAAAAGGGTCAAAAGGTAAGGGAATACTTGTAGAAATATAGGAAGCAATGGCTGAAGTGCTTTCGGTAGACAAAATCCTGGTATGACAACTGGTCCTCCCTGTACGTTAAGAAACATGATGGTTGAGATTATCTTACTTACACACAGAAACACAGTCAAAATACTTAGCAGCAGAGTATCATTTTGAACCAAAACATCTAAAGTATATATAATTCAACTATTTTCCCACCTTCTTCTTCCTCCGTTCTTTATCTCTGGATGTAGATACAGCATCACGTACTAGTTTAATATATGTCGGGAGTACCTCCTTGGGAACAGAGCTTATAACTCTTGACAAAGCTTCCCAAGCAACCTGTTGTACAGAAAATAAAATACATATAAAAAGCATTTTTTTAATAAGAATGTAAAAGGCATTTATGTTTGAAACAAAACATGACTTGACTCATTCATGTACATACCGCAACAGTTGCTGAATCTGAATCACTAAGCAAGACAATTAGAGTGGATATCATGTTTGGAACCTCATCAACCAAATATAGTTTGCTATTCTTAAAAAAATATCCTATGAGATACGCCGAACTTCTTCTTATTGGAGCCTGAAAAAATAGGTAATAAAGAAAGTGAGGTGAATTAAGACAACTAACCCTGATTCTTAAATCAGGAAATGGAAAGTTAAAGCTCATAACGTAACTGAATCCAAATTGTAGAGTCGCAAGAACAGGTATCTTATTAGCAATTTAAAGGACTAAAAGGACACGCATTTTAGAAAAATCTCAAATGCAATCACCATGGACATAAATGACAGCTGAAAAAGGAGAGAGTACTTAGTCTATACTACCTGGCTATCACCAGTGGCTTTAAGAAGCTCCGGAATAAGAGATTCAACACCTTCCTCATCAATGACTAAGACCACAGTCTCTGCAGCCTCCCTTGCCAAATTTTGAACATCCTACAGTTTCCAAAGACCGTACAATCAAATGCCAAGGAATGGAATCAGCCCAAATAAGAGAAGCTGCAGAAAACATATGAAGGTCGAATTCTAGTTAAGTACCTTGTCATCACCAACCATTGCAGAAAGTAGAGCGGGAAGAACAATGCTAAGATGAGCATTTAGACCAGGTCCGGCAACCTCAGCTAAAGCACCAAGAGCATGTGCATTGAGGGCACTGAACATAACCAAAAATCAAATCAGGACCAGTAAAAAGCAAACTTAAAACAAACTAAACCTTGAGAAAGAAAACATACGAAAGGGGAAGATGGACCAGCTTGGGCAAAATATGGGGTAAAACAGCTGATGTCCTGACACTGAAACAGAGCCAAACACAAAACCCTTAGTCTTTGAGATCGAGATAACACATAAACACAGCAGGGGGGAATTGGGGTGTGCGGGAAAGAGATTTACGTGTAAATGGACACTTTACCTCAAGATTTGCTTCAGGCCATCAAGCGCAGTATCAGAAGTTTTATCATCCTCCAAAGCATGCAGAAGCGTTGGAACAATTTCATCAATGGCTTGCATTCCAGCACTCTGCATGGAGGCATTTTGATGTGTATTTTTAGTTAATAAAAGAAAGAATTAAAATCAAATAATCAAATTGATACAAGGGGGGGAAAAAAAAGCACCTTGTAGAGAGTGCTGAATGCCAAGCCTGCGGATTCTCGAACTTCTGGTGTGCTGTTATCAGATAAAAAAAATATAATTAACTTTGGAAAATGGAAAGTATATAAAATTTAGTAAATCACAATGAGATGCACGAAACCTATCACAAAGTGCTGTCCGAATAGTTGGGATGAGCTCATCCATGAAACTTAATAACTGACTTTTACCCGCACTCGCCATTACTTCACTCAAGCCAATGCATACACCCTGTAAGCGATGTGAAGAAGAAATAAAAAATAAAATAAAATAAAATAACATTATTTGTCATCATTTAAAAGGGCATGTACTTGCCCAAAAATAAAAATTCAGGAGTCAGGACCAAGTTGGATGAATACAATGTCAAAGTAAAAGTCCAATCTCTAGAAGGATAAGTTATTGAAATGTACACACACACACTTAAACTGGGTCTCATAAACTTTTATGGACCTCCAGTAACTTTTTCTATAGGAAACAAAAAATTCTCTAAGACGCAAAAAATCAGTAACAGAAAACTAAAGGAGAAGTCGTCAGAAATGCAAATACACAAAATAGCAATAATAAGCAACATAGTGTCCTTTTACTAGGAGAATATAACACGATATAAAAATCTCAATAAATGCAAAGGCCAAAAAGTTGTGATTAAAATAGAACTATACAAAGAATCAATAAAAAGTGAGGGGGGGGGGGCAAAAAAAAAAAAAGACACTAACTTGTCTTCTGCTAGTGTCAGAGTCCTTGAGCCCTTTGGATAAAATTGGTATGATCAAAGGAAGTACTCTTTCACCAAGCTTTCGGACAAGCTCACCAAGTGCTCGTCCAGCAACCTACATGAGCACTGGAATTAGAAAAAAGCGTAATGCAGACCTCATAATAATTAAGCCAGCAGAAGAAAACAAGTGCAAACCTGCCGCCTCTCAGATGATGATGATGCAAGAGAAGTGATTAACGTATTCATCAAGACTGGCATTATATCCTTCAGAGTCTTTGGTGTATTTGCAACTATGGTTTTCCAAACATGTAAGGCAGCCTGATAAAAGGTAAAAAAAACTTCAGTTATTGAATGTTGTGTATAAGCTTAGTATCCAAAAGAACGTGCTAATATCATGCATTGTGCCAAAGTTCTTCCTACCTGACGCACTGATATGCTGACATCAGTCCGAACCATATACAATGCCGCAAGGACCTCATCACGTCTATCCTTTCCAAGAACTTCAATGATAGCACGCCCATGTGCTTCTGTACTAGAACCTTCATCGTCACTGCCTCCCTCAAGTAGAGCTTTTCCAGAAGTTCCAGCAACCTGAATAGAATGTAAAACATGTAAATATAAATGGTAAAACACATACACAGATACATACAAGGACAGTCCCAGATGGGAAAACAAGATGTTGAAAGGCATTTACCTTGAATAAAAGATCACCTAACAGTTCCACGGAGCTTTGTCGAATACGCCAATTATCATTAAATATTCCATCCTCCACAGCTGGAAGGAGCAAAGGCAAAGACCTGAAGACAGAGGGAGGTAAAAAAAAGGTGATAACAGAACAAAACCCGAGATGAAATAATGGAAAGTACTGTGACCAAAATCCATGACTTGTCATTTGTCAACATCCGAGCTTTTAGTTTCTTACAGAAATAGCCAACTTCAATCCTCCATAACCAATTCAAAAATATTTTGACACACCCAAACCATGCCGGATTTGAAATATCCATTATCCATTCAAATCAGACAAATGTTTCGTCATACATGCTCCATACTAACCTAATGTTTCTGACACAACTCAGAATAAAATCTATCCATTCGAATACAATTTATAAGGAAAGAGGGGTTAAAAAAAGGTGATGGCTCAAGAACACATTGAATTCTCCAAGAAAAAGAACAAAAAGGATTAGTGTAAGAGGCTCACGTTGTCGCGTAATGTTCAACGAGGACATGCCCTGCACCCAGCGCTGCATCACGAACAGATTCATTCTCATCGGCAAGACCTGTAACAAGAATAAGTTAGTTTCAAAAGCACCAGAATTCTAATAACATAACATCTTCAATTCATAATAAAAAAAAATAAACTATTAAGAAAATACAATATTTACCATCTAAAATGGCAGGCAAGACCTGCTGCAAATATTTCTGAAATTGGGTGCCCAATGACCTTGGGAAATACTACAAAAATATTCAAACATAAAAGCATCAATTGAACTGATCCTCTGAAAAAACAAAATGTTCTACTACTTGTTAAAGTCACTGTCGTAGTGTTCACCTTGAAAAGTGTTAAATATCCATCACGTACAGATGCTCTTTGATGAGAACAGTTACGAATTATATCAGGAAGTAAATGCTCAAAGGACTCAGTTCCAAGGGCAGCCAAAACCTGGAAAATGATTGAACTCAAAGATATCATGAAAGACTACAGAATCCCACGGATGCCATAGTTTTATATATATATATATAAGAAACGAGTATTTTATTAATAATGAAAAAAAAAAAGAGCACCAGAGGATTAGGGGTCCTCAAACCAAACAAAACAGGCAAAACCAAAAGAATTACGCAAACAAAAACCACAAAAACTACAACAGGGACAACATAACTATAATAAAATTAAGTCCCATCCCCTTACGAGATCAAAATATGCAATAGTTATTTATACAAAAATTCTTAAATTTAACTCCATGTAAAGTGTAAACAATGGATACCTCAAATTAGAGTCGTGCAATATTGTGTGATTATCAATATTGATTAAGGGCAGATGTGAGCTACATGTACTAAGATAAGAGAATATAAACATGCTGACCTCACTCAACCCTTGGGCAGCTCCAGAACGCTCAACATTACTATTCTCAGATTTAAGCGTTTCTAATAACCATGGAACAAGATCTGGGAAGTTTTCTTCACCCATTCCACGTATAAGTGATCCAAGGGCTCTTGCTGCAACCGAACGAACTTCCGGAATCGGATCCACAAGGACCTGTTCTCATGAACATGGAGAATGAGAAGAGGCTCCAACAGGAAAAGAGGATGTGCACAAATCTACGGAGTGATACCTTTTTCACTTCAGGAAGAAGCAACCCTATGTATGGAATCATATCCTTTGGCTCTGTAACTAATGAACACATATTTCCAACTATCTGTGCTGCTCTCTTTTTGGTGTCAGCACTCCTCTCCCTTAGTCCCCTATGTACAATTGGTACTAACAGGGCGAGTGAAGGAGCATCGATCGAATTAACAAAAGTTGTCTGTAGCAAATCCATTGAGCATTTCAATACGACGGAAATAACAGAACTCAATATGACGGAAATAAGAGATTTGAGTCCATGAAGGTTACCTGCAGAAGAATATCAAGGGAGTATTTTGTGTAGTCATTGGGATCTGTAAGACCCATCAAAAGAGTGGGGACAAGGGAAGCTATTTCTGGATTCTTTATTACGCTCCCAACCTAGAATAGCACCAAGAAGAGGGGAAGATTTACAGAAGCAGCTTTAGAGAATATGAATAGTGAATAAACCACAAAAATTAAAACCTGTTGAAGTGCCATTTGCCCAGCTGATTGGACTTTAGGATGGGTATCTGTTAAGACCTGCGATTTATACAAAAAAATTTTATTAAAAAAGGGGAAAGAAAGAGAAAAAGAAGTTGAAGCATAAGATAATTAACATATCCAAGAAAGAAGACCAGACGATCCCAGTTTTAGTAGTACAGTAACAAATTCACGATTCACATATCAACACCTCAGTGAGTTTTGGTACAATCTTGGGGAGACACTGAGACAACTGCTCAGGAGCACAGTAAGCCATAGCACCAAGTAGTTGAACACTACTTTGTTTTGTTCGCCAAGCTTTATCTTCAAGACCCTGCAAAAATAAAGTAAATTTGTCATGCATATTGTAAACAAAAAAAAAAGGAGAGAGAAGAAGAGTAGTTTTTCATTGAGAAAAACATATATGCACTAATGGAGAAAAGAACAAAGACAACAAAGGAGAAAACAAAGAAGATAAAAGCATCTTTAAGGTGCTTAGAAGAAAAGGCCAATAATTAATCAAGACAAAACCGCATTTACATCCCAGAATACCAAACGCCTTGACCTTTACCATCAAACACTCCAATCACTCTATACTCGAATAAGAATAAGAAAAATAAAATAAAATAAAATAAAAATCTTGAGTTTCTCTACTTCCATGTAGTCCAAAGCAAGGAAATGACCATACTATTTCATAGGTTGTTTTCCATCTTATTCGTACTAAAACCAATCAACTTTTCCAGCACCAAAGGCTTGCAGTGAGCAGGGAAAGACCAAAGAAAACGTCTATGATCCAATAATTTGTGCCAAAGACTCCTAGCCATGGGATGATGGAGAAGGAGATGATCTATTGTTTCCCAATCTCCTTTGCGCATAATACACCCAGAAGGAGAGATGGACAGTCGACAAGTTTTCCTTTGAACACCATCAAAATTGTTTATTTTCCCATGAAAAACCAGCCAAGCAAATACATTGCCAGCAACACACCACGCCAAAGCACCTCCGCCCATTTAATTGATCTAAACTCTGCTAGATTTTCAACAAACAGTAATAAAACTCTGAGTGAGGGCCCAATGAAAGCCAGTCACCACTATCAGATTGCCTCACAAAATCCAGCCACTTTACAATGGAGAAATAAATGATTTTCAGTCCAATTATGAGTTTGACAGAATACCCAGCAATATGGGGACAGACAAAATAAGTCTGCGCCAAATCACATGTTTATCTTCTCTCAAGCCAGTAAAAACGTAAGCAATTTGACCTCACTGGGAACATTGGCACTCCAAATAAATAAGCTAGAGCAAATACAGACCAATTGAACAAAAGTTAATCTCCTATCCATAGAAGAAAAGTCATTCACTTCTCCAACCCTCAAATCTTTAGCTAACCTTTTCACCACAGGGCACCAAGAGGCTAACAAAAATGGGCATTTTCCCCCAAGAAAAGAACAATGTGCTAATAATCATTCTTTGCAACCACAACCAATCGTTAACCAAAAGGATCATTTTTAGCCCCAAAATGAAACGGGAAAATTTTAAGATTGTTACATTAAAATAAGAGTTAAATCCATGAATAGTCCCTGAACTTTTTTCTCCCTCTAGAATTAGTCCTTATAGTCAATTTAGTCTTGTGAAAAGTACCTGAACTCAAAAAGTGTCTCATAAATGGTCATTCTGTTAAATTTTGGACTTTGTCTCATAAAAGGTCTAAACTATCTTTTCTCTCTAAAAATAGTCTCTATGTTGAAAGTTATACTAAATTTAATCTCTAAACTAAAAGGAAAAAAAAAAAAAGATAAACCAAAATTAGTTCATTTGTTAAATAAATAGATAGAAAACATTAATTTTTTTTAACAGTGCCAATTACCCAATTTTTTTCCTTCCTTAAAAAAAAGGGAGTAGAACTAAGGAGGCGATTTCCACTGTGAGCTGGTGTAAACTTACGGTGCAACCAACCTTTTTTTTTTTTTTCAATCATAATAAGAGCCTTGTTCTTTAGACTTTAGAGCTTGGAAAAAGACGTTCTATTGCAAAAAGAAACATCAATTTCATTTTTGAGTTTTGCTGGTTGAGTTTGAGACAACAAGGCAACCTGGCAAAAATCTCTAATACCCATACATGTCTTTTTATCTAATTTAGGGCGCGTTTACCAAACCGTAAAGGAATGTAATGGGAAAGGTAATGGGATTGGAAAGGAAAGTAAAGGAATAAGATTAAGGATCATTGATTCCTTTTAAGTGTTTACTTAAATATTAGGTGGTGTAATGGGAAACAATCCCATTCGCTTTCTAGCGTTTACTAAAATTAGGAAAAGCAATATTATCAATGTATTCACTAAAAAGTCCTTTCTACACAATTACATAATCATTGACTATATAGTAATTCATTAAAGGTTAGATAAGTAAATTAGGCATTCATTCCCTTTGACAAGGAATCAATACCGAGGGAGATGTAAGGATTGACATTCCCTTTCCTCATTCCCTATATTGTGTGGGACCCACTAAATCTCCATTACCCATTTTGTAAGTAGACACATTATTAAAAGGGAAAGGGAATCACTCCTTACTTTCCCTTTCCCTTTGATGCAAAGTAAACATGCCCTTAACGTTTTCTATTTATTTATTTAACAAATGAACTAATTTTGGTTTATCTTTCTTTTTTTTAGTTTAGGGATTAAATTTAGTATAACTTTTAACATAGAGAATATTTTTAAAGAGAAAAGATAGTTTAGGGACTTTTATGAGACAAAGTTAACGGTTTCCATCTAAAATTAAATAGAGGGACCATTTATAAGATACTTTTGAGTTCAGGGACTATTCATGAGAACAACTTGACTCTAAGGACTAATTTTAGGGAGAGAGAAAGGTTCAGGGACTATTTATGGATTTAACTCTTAAATAACTTATCCTCAGCAAATTGAGGAAGAGAAAGATCAATTTCTGTCCCCTCACTAATGGCAAAACTTTTAATTAAGAGGGACTCTCAAGAATTGCTTGGTTGTCTATTCAAGACATTGACAACCAAAGTGAAAAGGGATGAAGATCAAGAATCTCCTTCCCTAAGACCCCGAAAACCCAAACTTGCCCCTAGGCTTACCATTCAAAAGCAAAGAAAGAAAAAAGGAAATGAACAGACAACCAAGCAATTCTGCATTTGTATATACACACATACACAAAAAGTAGAAGCTAAACACCTTTAGAAGGGATGGAAGGACCAACTTCACTCCCTGCGCACTAAGTTGAGACATCATTGCACGAGCAGCACACTCAGCAGCTTCTCGAACAGCAACAACTTGATCAGAAAAGGAAACAAGAAGTAATGGTAACATTTGAATTACATACCTACACAAAAATGCAGACAACAAGAGAGAGATGTCAGACATTATCCAATGAAGAAACTACTTTTGCGGCCTAAATAATTTCTACATACGGTTCAAACAAGCGTCCAAGTGTTTCACAGAGGCACTCAAATTCGAGCAAAGCTCCTTCACGGCATTTTGCAGAAGTCCTGGAATGAAAAAGATAAATAAAAATCGAACTCTTCCGAAAGAAATTCTATGTTCATCTTTCAAAAAAATGAGAATGATAAAGTTCTCATCAGCACAATGACAAACAAAAAGTAATGAAAAAAAAAAATCAAAAGCATCTTCTGACTCCCTCTCTTTTCTTCCATTTTGATATTAATGAAAAAGAGCAAGAATCATTCAAAAAAGAAAAAAAGAAAAAAAAAGAAAAAAAAGAAAGAAAGAAAAACATCCAATGCTCTCCCCATCTAGAAAAATTGACATAAAGGTGTAGTATCAGAGAAGTAGCTAATAACCATGATTTAATACATAAATTCACTAGAACAAAAGTTAATACAATATGAAATTCTTACCAAAAAAATTAAAAGGAAAAAAAATCTAGCTACAATTGAAGAATTTTGCAAATGCCTGCTTAAAACGGTGTAGGACAAACCTATCTGCAAGACCTTCTCGTAGTACAGCCACAATGTTGTACTTCTTCAAGCAAGGTATCCCAAATCCCTTGACTACTCCAGCAAGCCCAAAAGCTGCACCACGTCGTTCCCCATACTTTTCGCTCTTCATCAATTGATCCAACAGCCTGGAAACAAGAGCTGGTCCATCATCCTTATGCAAGAAAACAATATGTTAGATCCTCGAAATAAAGCTCAAAATATAGTAAAGAAGAAGAATAGGCAAGAGTTAAGGAAATTGCAGTTGGAGGGCCGGTTTTGGCCAATTTTGCACAAATGGCCAGTTACGATCACAAACATGTTTCCCAGATGTCACTTTGGGCAATGTGCATCAAATGCAGTACTTCTTTGAGTGATAGATGATAGAGAAGTTAATTCACCCTGGCCTAAATGACAAATAGATGAAAAAGAATACAAGTTTCTAAGCTGCTTCTGAGCTGTGCTGTACCTGCTTTGATTGCATTAATGGGGCAAGGCACGCAGAGACCGCTCGTTGTACAGCTTCCGACGGAGTGTTCAAAACATCTAACAACTTTTCCACAACAGTGTGGACTTTAGGATCATCCTGTTTCAAGAAAGATGTCCAAAAGAAAACAGAGGTGATGTCAAAAACGAATAAGAGGTTGAAAAAGAGAGGCTGAGAAAATAAATGAGGAAATCAATACCTTTGCCAAATGTTTTGCCAAAGCTCCAGTGAAAATAACAACACCCTCACGAACCAAATCATATTTCTCTTCATCCGATGCCTAAGAAAAAAGGAAAAAGAAACATCTATTTACATATGACATACGAGAGTGTACAATAAGTTTTGCATAATTAGAACAATTTACTCCACCCAATACCTATTTAACATAAGATTGTTCTTCAATCAGATGAAGAGAAGGAGCTCTGATAGGTATCATTGGCAAGTTGGCAAAAGCATATAGCCATATACTGGCAGGGAAGGAGGATTACCTTTTTGTTCAAGTAGTTCTCAAAGATGGGAAATAACAAGGAAACATTTTCTCTGCCATGCTTGTCGATAATCATGATACCAGCATTAATCATTCTTCCTCGAACATCTGCATTAGGATCTGCCTGCACATTCAGAAGCAGTAAATAGTAATGACACCGCTTTTCGTGTTTTTTAAGGGATGGACTAAAAAGTGAATAATAAAGATAGATTCTTAAATAGAATATTTAATAAAAAAAGAACAACCACTTCATTAATAGAGGATAGAATGTAAAAGCACAGTTAGATCCTACCAGTGCTCGTGAAATCAAAAATGTCATGACAACCGGAAGGTCTTTTGTCCTCAATACATCAGCAGCAGAATGTAATGCCAAAGCAACTCCTTGTCGGCCTAGCCAACCAGCATCAAGATTGTCCTCGATGAAACCAGCATCATGGATGTACAAAGAAAATAAAGTGGACAGAGATTCCTACAAATACAAAAAAGTTATTTAACAAAAGTAAATGGCTGTGACAATCAAAAGTTTGATAAATTAGACTCACCTGTATGGTATCGGGACATTCATCCAAAGCAGCAGCTAATGCCTCCGCAGCAGCCAACCTTACATTGTAATTAATGTGGGAAAGAGCTTTAAAAAGTCCCGAATAATCAGTTTCAAAATCATAGCCATAACGATCCCATAAATCTTCAGCTGCTTCAGCAACTGACTGGAGAAATAACAAAAAAATGATTAATAATACAATCATTATAAAAGAAAGAATCTGTATCAGAAATACAAAATAAAGAATGCTGTTCAAAATCAGAAATAGAACATTCTCATAACAGATTAAAGAAAACACCAAGCATAAGAAAAAAGAATGCAACATATCTCGTAGAGGTACTTCGCTGACTGGCAAACTAGCAGCAGTGCAATAGATCTAGCATGATTTACATTTATGGAAGATAGTTAGCAAGCCCAACCTTTTGTGGATCGTGCAATGCAATCCAAATGCTTGTAGCAATCTCAACATTTTGCGGAAGAGATCGGCTAGACACAGCAGGGACACACTTTACGGCATTCAAGCAGGCCATTCTTACATGAACATCTTTTGTGTAAACTCCATATAGAGCCTGCCAAAAAGCATGTGACGATGAATGTCTACAATAAAAGAACACCATATATTGCGACTAGATGAGAAGTTTAGTTAACTTACAGGTGCCACTTCATCTGGTTGCAGACCTAAACATAACTCATTCAGTGCAGGGCCAATAGATGCTTGATAACCTGGGACGACACCAAGAACATGATAAAGGACCTGAAAAACAAGGAGAAAATAAGTAAAAGAGAAACAATAGAAGAACAATAAGCTGAGGGAAAAAAAAAAAAAAAAAACATGGCACAATAGAATTTTCTTGCAGAAAGGAAGTTCAAATCTTTAACTGATAGCATCCGAAGCCTGGGAAGGGGCAAAAGGGGATCCATGTGCATGTAAAGAATACGAAGCACATCATCATGGAGGCTTGTCTTCTTAGAGGACAACAGGATTTGCTCCATTATCTGACAGAAAAGTACGGCAGAAAAATTAGAAAACAGAGTCACTATACAAATGGATTTTTTTCCTTTTGATAAGAAACGAAAAATTTTATTGAAAGAATAAAGAAACAAAAAGAGTACACAAAAACTTACCGGGAAGACAAAAGTAAAGGAATCTACAGGTAGAGCTCCTGATTTACAGGATACAGAAAGGCCACTAACAATTCTCTCAAAAAGACCTAAAGAAGGTATTTCATTTTCTTCCCCTTCACCACTGGAAGAAATCAGATCGAACTGAACCCTAACTTCATCAGTTGCAATCAAGCGTAAAGCAGTGGCAATGTCGAGGGCCCAATTACAAAGAGGTGCAACGATGCATCTTGAGAGCTTGACCATGGTTTCATAGGCCACATCACCTACTATAGGTGACCTTAACAGTGGGTCAACAAACTTGAACTGGTACAAGATGAAAGAGAAGAGTCTCAATTTAAAATCTAGCAGATAAACAATATAGAAATATGTGTTTGCACGCATGCATGTGTGAGATACAGCAATCATGAGTAAATGGATTAGGAAACAAACCAGAGAAGATAGCTGACTATGCGCAAAAATTGGATTTGCAACAGCCACCTCTCCAAGAGTCCTAAGAATCAGAGACAACTTCTTTTGAATTTCCCATACTCTCTCACGAATAGATGCTTCCTCCTTAAGTAGTAATTCCCGTGCCTCCTCCTTTGCAGTCTTTGCTTTGTCTAAAGATCAAGATAAATACTTGGCGTGAGAAAAAATTTTACCCCGAACAAAAGAAAAATGCAAAGAATACATGCCAGGTTTCTTAGTTGACTTCATAGGTTCCCTTTTTCCAACACCGCTAGCGTCTCTACCAGCTTGTTCTCTTTTCACAGAATGATTGGAAACAACATTGCCCTGGAGTTAAATACCAGTGCATTAGAAATGAATGATAAAAAAACAATAATTGATCATAATTATAATAATAAAATGAAGGCAACGAAATAAACAACTCCATCAATGAATAAATGAAATACATGAAAACAATAATAGATAAATGGTAAAAGCTACAAGAATTTCCAATAAAAGTAAAATAATAATAATAATAATAATAATAATAAAGAAATAATTCCAGAATTACCGCATCATCTTCATCATCATACATCCGGAAGCGGCCCTTGGCTTGCTTTACGTTCTTAGTAGCAACAGACTCTGCAACGTAAACACCTTGCTCATTGGAAAGCACACCTTCAGGAGTGCGGAAAATCTGAAACAAAGTAAAATAAGTGGTTCCAAATTAAATAATTTAGGGAAATATGAAGGTAATGTGCAAATCGTAATAAATAAAAAATGGAGCAACATTCCAAGAACATCTTAATAATTCCGCCATCAACATCGAGTTAAAAAGTCTGAAAAAGTTCATGAATTTGCATAGAAGATAAGTCCACTGTTAAATCAAGAAGATATGCCAAATAATTTACCCGAATTTCATCCTCTGTAAGTGTATCATGTGAAAATCTGTCTGGAAGACTTGTCAAGTGCTGGCATAGTCATACAGTTCCAGTCAGCATAACTCAAATCTAACCCTATAGGCCTAATTAACCGAAAACCAATCTAAATATGAGGTATGCAAGTCATTGTGCACTTAACCTTCTCAAACTCTAAATAAGTTTCTCTTGGTGATATGGACATCAAAGTGGAAAATGATGAAATTGCTGCTTGTTGTTCAAGTGGATTAGCACTCATCAACCCCGTTGGTCCAAGTAGGCCCTGATGTAGACACCAAGGATAAATTTATATTATTCTTCAATCACAAAATATCATTGCCATACCACAAAATACAATCAATTACGGAATTCCAACACAAAAGAATGAGTATAATTTACAATCCATTTATCACCAATAAGCAAAAATGCAAGTAAAATACACTCCCCCTAAAATGCAGAACTCCTTAAAAGAAAGGAGCCATTCAGCAACTACTGAGTTTACCTTGCACAAATTCTCCACATCAGCTGATATAATAGCAATGACATCAAAACCACATGCTTGAGAGCATTTACATAGTCTCTGAAAACAAAAAAACAAAAAAAAAGTCTATAACATTAGCCACAAAAAGGTCAAGGCCTGAATACTATAACAGCTGAAATATGACATACATCGTGACATGCGCACAAATAGAAGAAAATCCTTCAATGTCTAGTCAAGATATTATTATCAGGAAAAAAAATACAGAGAAAATATTGACAAATATAGTTCTTCACACGTGAATTTGGCATTTTGTGAGGATTATCTCAGCGCACTTGATGAAGAGTAACAGTAAAAAACAGCATAGATTCTTCAATGGCACCTAACTAGGAGCTTTCTCCTTGATAAAATATATTACTTAATTTAAAACAAAATACAATTTCCTGCTTTCAAATTGAAGATGAGAAAAGCAAAACTTCAACACAGAAAAAACTAAAACTAAAACCAAAGCATAACCATTTTCATCTAGTCTGTAGATCAGTAATTACCCTCCAAATTGCATCCCTTTTTGCAGTGCCAACTATGTATGGATGATGTGCACAGAGCATCACTTGCATAGATGTACTTGGATTTACAGCAAGAGCCGCTGATGATATCACAACTAAAGCCTTTACTGAAACCTCAATAGATGGAAGAAAAGGCGCTTGAGTGTCCAATGAATTATCTGTGTCACTACAGAAATACAGATTTAGATCTCCAGACAGAGGAACGTAATAGAAAGATGAAAAAACACGTATCAGAAAACTACAGAACCCTCACATGTAAAATAATGGAAAAAAATAAAGGGGTGGAAAAAGTATCTATTTCTTCATAAACAGAAATTTAATACTAGAAAAAGTAGAAAGCATATAAAAGAGGAGAATGACAAGAAGTTCACTAAACAATGGAAAATACCCAGACTACAACATTCTTCCAGTTTAACAAAATAAAAAACAGAAAAAAACATAAAAATGTCCACTGTTTAGAAGTCAAACGATCTCCTGCTGTAGCAAAAGGGACTCCTTTTTAGAGTTAGTCAGCCTTCTACATTTATTCAGTTATTTATTTTTGTTTCAGGGTTAGCCGTTGCTGTATCAAAACGTTCATCATTCCTTTCCAATCTGAACAAATCTTCAAACCAATTTAGAAAACCTTTTTTAATGTCACAAGTTGTTCTATAGATATTTTTTGTCTCCAGTCTAAGACATCCAAAAACTATCCACTACCAAGCACTGCAAAGTTCAAAAATGTGCAAGACAAGACTCCATCTCCTCTTCAAAGTAGAAGTTATAAATACACAATTCTGTTTACTCATAAAAAACCCCTAGAGAAAGGAGAGAGAAATTAATCTAGCAGCGCAACCTGATATTAAGAAAAAGAGAGAAAGAGAGAGAGAAGAATCTGATGAATAAGAAGAAAGCGGCAAAACTAGAGAGAGAGAGCGAGAGAGAGAGAAGAAAACTGATGAAAAAGAAGAAAGCAGCAAAACTAAGGTGTACCTTGTTTTTGAAATATAGAGCTTCTCCGCAGCAAGAGACAAATAATTTATCAATTCGAGTAGTAGAGTTTCAGTTAACTGCGGAGCAGAAGCAATTATCTTTTTCGTAGCATCATAAGACCTTCTTCGAATTTCCCAACACGGGCGGCATACTAAAAATATTATGAGCTGCAGCATAACAACAATTACTTAGTACTAAATTTAAATTTCTTGAACGAAGGAAAAAACAATCCAAGTGCAAACAAATTTACCTGTAAGAGCAATCTTATAGAAAAGGTATCTAATATCCTGCATAATGAAGTGGCAACAACTTGAACGGTCACTACCAACTTTTCTTCATAAAGTAACAAAACGATGGATATATGCATTGTCCAAAAAAAAAAAAAAAATTATACTACCTATGCAAATGTTCCACCACCAGCATCTCAAGAAGATCAATACACGCCATGCAATCTTCAATTGATAATTTTGAGGCCTGCAGTACCAGTTCTCAGCTTCTTTATCATGGGAAGAAAGGGAAAAAGCACAGACAAAAAGCAAAACAATTTCAAATGACAGAATTTTTAAATGGCTACCATATTTATTGGTACAAGAGAAGGCTCGTTTTGAGATACCAAAGACCAGATCTTTTCCTTCATAATAGTCTCCTCTGAGAGAGGGGGGGCAAAAAAAGTGTAAGGGGGATAAATGAACTTAATTACATGAAAGAGTGGCAGGGAAAGCAACAAAACTGAGACAGCTAATGGATATGTACTGTCATATAAATAACCTAAGCATTAAAAAACAAAGATGAAAAAACTAAAGATAATAAGCACCTGCTTTTATGTCAACAGCTGCTATTTTTCCAACTATAAGCAAGGCATATATGCCATCCAAACGTTGAACTGCCTTTGTAAAACCAATTTTCACAAGTTGGACGAGAGGCACCAGTAATGATGACACCTGCAAATTTGCAACGCCACAATTAGTGAAAGGGAGCCAAAACAAAAACAAGCTGAAAGATGCACAGCCAATCAAAACTCAATCTGCCAACTTACTCGTAAAACAGCATCAGCATTTTTGCATATGGCTCGTATACACCGAAGATGCCCCCTTCTTAAAGCTTCCTTCTCCTTAAGGCCAGAAGCAATGAATGCAACAACATCGGGTTGGACCACATCAGCAGATCGTGCTGCCCAAGATCCCAAAGCTGACAGAACTGCCAGCTTAACCTCCTCATTGCCTTGAAAAACACCCAACATCAAATTAGAACAATAACACACGATACTCAAAAGAAAGTAATATTGAGAAGGAATCTGAGAAAGACGAAATGAAGACATTCAAATATATCCCCAGAAAGAAGTTAAAAGTAGATGCACAAGAGAGGGATAAAACACTGAAAGGTAACAAGTTACCATCATCCTTGTAGCAAGATAGAAGGAAGCTGCATATTGTTCGTGACAGGCTATTGAGGTGTTTCCCATCCGGAGCATTAGACAACTCTTGCAGTGCATTGATCATGCCAATTCTCTGGTAAGGTAATGCAAGTCTTCCTTCTGAGCCTGTTAAATCGATATCTTGACTTAAGAGTAGCTCAGCTAAAGATTTAAATGCTCAAGCTGAAAACACATTGAAAGGCATACCCTAAAGAAAACATGAAGACCGGGCATAACCCTACAGACATGAAGACAAATAACCCAAGTACTGACACATAACCACAAGAGAAACCTTTTTGCTTTTTCTTTTCTTTTCTTTAAAAATAAATACGAAAAAGAATCAGAAAGCACACTCCATACCGCCAATTACAGCTTTTACAGCATTAAACATTGCCTCTAAAGCATCTGGGTTACTTGACTTTTTGCTCAAACAGCTTACTATTGCCAATGCTTCTATCCTTCTGTCTTCATCAGCATGCCGAGCCTGAGGCAATGCCACTGAAAGAATTTCAAGAGCATACTTGCTCAAATCCAGATTGACCGATCTCAAAAGAATTCCTACTGACTCCAATACAATCTCAGGGTTCCGCTTCAGCATTTTAACAGCAGCTGGAACCACAATACTTTGAAAATCCTCATGTGACATATGCTTAAAAAGGGGTTGAAATGCTTCACTAAGACCCTTTGCAGGCTTCTCTCTCGAACTTAGAACTGCTTTAACGTATATATCAAGAAACGTTGGCTGTGAACAAAAAACCAACATTAACTACTCGACTTTGATGGCCCAGTAAAGCCAAAAATGAGTTATTTAAACATAAGCCTTTCAACCCCCCGATACAATTAGTAATGCACCAACATGAACACAAACAAGGATACGGGCATGGACTGTCTTAGATTTTCGCTTCATAACTGTTTCCCATAAATGAAGTGAAGAACAATGTAAGTATACACCTCTTACCTTGCCCTGTTCAAATAAAGAAGGTGCTTTACTTGAGGTACTGGAGAACTCCATTAATAACCATACCAACTCGTGACTATCTTTGTATGGGATCCGCCCATCCTTTAATTCCTCTATGTAAATTTTGTATATATCCGGTGACTGAAAAATGTAATGTTTTTTGGCATGAGGAAACTGAAATTTACTCGTGAATCCATAAATATACTACATACTATTATCAACTATCTGAACGGGTAAAAAAGGCTAAACCTGAGAAAATAACAGAAAAAACGCCTGCTTGCAGGCCTTTCGCTCGCGCACAGATCGTTGGGTAACGATATGAAGTAACGACGCCTGTACTGTGGCTAATCTACAACAAGCACTCTTCGAAACTGTGGCGAACTGACTCTTACTAAGCAAGAAACACGACCACTGAAGAAGTCTGAAGCAGCCAACGAATGACTGGACCTTCGCTTGCTTCTCCATTGCCTGAACAAGCGCCGCCGCGAAGCTTTTCATGAAGATAGTCTCACCTAGTACGTTCGTAATCACGTCATTAACGGCACTTCTCGAACCTCGGTCATCGTAAATATACAACGTCTTGAATACTATATCCACTAACAATGAAGCCAATTCCGCATTCATTTCTGCATAATTCGACAAATTCAGAGCCAAAAATAAAGGTTACAGAATCAAAGATTCCATTTCTCCACCACTTTTTCTCATTTCAAATGCAAATCGGCAAACTTTTTACGGTTAATCGCAAATTTTATTCCGCGAATTACGATTCTTGATTTTAGGTTAAGAAGAGATTGGAGGAACCTGAATTGACGAGAATTGGAGGGATTTCGTCGCGGAAAATCCGAAGACGCTTCTTGGTGGAGGAGGTGGAGACCAACCCGGCGATCGAGGCGAGAGACTCCGATGGGTCGGCCATTGTTGAAGAGAGAGATTTCGATGGGGGAGACGAGCTCAGATGAACCTTCGACGATGGAAGAAAAAATGGTTACTAGGGTTTTAGGAGCAGCTGAGAAACTAGACTGTGACAGAGAAAGTCTTGAGGGGAATATCAATATATGCTTTGCTCTTTTTGGTTTTTGCACAGAGAGAGAGAGAGAGGGAGAGAGGGAGAGAGGGAGGGATAAATGGGTTGGGCTCGTGTATTGGCCTTTCCAGTCCGTAAAGATAGTGGGCTTCTTAGGACCCTTTTGAGTTCATATGTTGACCGTTAAATGATGGATATTTACTTGGGGCTTTAATGAAGATGGCCCATTTGAAATGCAGCCCGGCCTTTAAACTTTCGGGCTGAGAAATAGTTTTATCCAAACGACATGTCGTTAAAAGGAATAGGGAAGCAAACGACATATCGTTCGTTGTCGTCTTGTGATGGCTATAGACTGCATCAAATAAGAAACTACAAATGTTTAAAGACGCAAATTATGGTCATAAACCACACATGTTATTTCACGACAAATATGTCCATCTACATCGTTTCACCACGAAAAATACACAAACTTTTTCAAAGACAAAATTATGTCGTTTTCTCAGCGTAAACGACAGTGAACTTTTTTTGAAGGAAACGACAGCAAAAGTTAAGAAGGCGACCATGGTGACAAGACGAGCTTTCCATGTCGAATCAGTGTGCATGATCATGATGGCGACGACGGCCACCCACTCGCTCTCGGTCGCGAAGATGATGGCGCAGGGGTAATGTTGAAATTTTGCTTTTATTTTAAGAAATAAGAAAAAGGAAAGATAAGAAAAGTAAACGGTCGGTAATTAGTGGCAGCTATTTATGCGATGTTTATCCTTATTTTTCTTCCATACAAATTTTAAATTTTAAAAATTATAATTATAAAAATAATCTTTAAAAATCTGTGATTTTTTCGTTTTGTGCATTTGAAATATAATTTTTTTTCTTATATACCCCACTAAATTTCACACTTTTTATTATTTCAAAATAAAAATTTAGTATATACTCCCAGTGAAATAAAAGTCTGGATGCGCCGATTACAGTAATGATTTTCATTTTCAAAAACTTTACCCCTGTTTGTTTCAACTACCGTAGTTCAAGATTCAAATTGAAGTTTGTTATAGGATAATTCAAATCATTAATAATAGTTCAAATCCTTATATTTTAAAATTTACCACCCCCTTAAATAATAATAATTATAAAAGTCTGGATGCGCCAATTACAGTAATGATTTTCATTTTCAAAAACTTTACCCTTGTTTGTTTCAACTACCGTAGTTCAAGATTCAAATTGAAGTTTGTTATAGGATAATTCAAATCATTAATAATAGTTCAAATCCTTATATTTTAAAATTTACCACCCCTTAAATAATAACAATTCTAATTGTTTTTAACAGTAAAAACAATCATAATTCTACTTTTCTCTCTCTTCAATTTAAAGCTTAAAAATGTCATTACATTTTTATTTTAATTTTGATTGAGATTGTTTTTTTAATGTCTTTATAATGAAGAGAATAATAAATTCTCATCTATATTGCATATTTTTAGATGTTATTTACAATGAGGTTTTGTAAGATTTGTTACAAAACTCTAATGACAGTTTTTAACACTTTATCTAAACACAATTTGAATTTTATTTTCAATTTAAATTATAATTTATTTACATATCAAAATACTAATTCAAATCATAATTCAAATTACCGCAGCTCAAATTAAATCAATAATGTAAATCGTTAAACCAATCATTATTTATTACTTGCCATTTGCTATAATTTCTGTAGAAGTTCTCACGCAAAATCAATGCATGAGCGTCACCAGCAGTGGACTATACATATATTATTGTTATCGATGGAGGTGCACATCACAACCATATTAAAGTTCCAACCCACAGCATAAAATAAAATCATATCCGAGTGGCCGTTAAGGAAAAAACAAAAAGTCAGATACAATGTATTTGGTGCCACTAGGCTTCTCCAGAGTCTTACACATGTGCCACATAAAACATACAAACTCTAAAAGAAAGAACAACGACAATAAACTGACTTTCCATTATCACCAAAACTAACTAGTGCTGAATATTATTAGCCCCAAAAAGGAAAGAAATACATAGGCCGTTTATTTTGTTGATTTGAGTTTAGAATTTAAGTTTTTTTATAGTAAAAATTTTTTATAAATAATCACATTTAATTTTTTTATTACAGTAAAAAGTTCTCACATAAAGTCACATCTCAACTCAAATTCTAAACTCAAATCAGCGAAGTGAACGGACCATAAACGGCGAAAAATTCCCGTGTGTTCACTTAAAAAAATAAGAGAAAATACGTGTCGTTGAGGTAAGGGGGGTTTGGAACAAAGGACGGGTGTTTCCTAAGATGGTGAACAACGTGTCAGCCGAAAAAGCACACACAAACTGTCGTTTCAACACATGTCGCCGCAATTAGAATCAACTTGCGCAAGTTGAGCTGCTCCTGCACTCTGTGCTATAAGCTTTCTTCTCTGTTTTTTTTTTGGCATTGGAAACAATGGCGCATCCTTCCTTGCCGATCATGAATAGTGTTGCTATCGCAAAATATTGATTGGCCACTTTATAAAAAAGAGAGATATACCAGCTCAACAAAATGTAATAAAATATATATAGAAAGTGAGAAGGTTTGTAATTTCGTTTTTTTTTTTTTTTTTTTTTTTTTTTGGGTTTCATTGTGATCATTACGTCGAAAAAAATATATAAAAAAAAAAGGGGGTTTTTTTTTTTTTTTTTTTTTTTTTTTTTTTTTTTTTTTTTTTGGGTTTCATTGTGATCATTACGTCGAAAAAAATGGAAGATCGCGAGAAAGATCAGACGGCGAAAGCCGTGGTGAAGGCGGCGCGGCCAGTGATGGAGCGGTCGAGGAAGCGGCGGATGAAAGGGAAAGGAGGGCCGGAGAACGCGGAGTGCACATTCATAGGGGTGAGGCAGAGGACGTGGGGGAAGTGGGTGGCCGAGATCAGGGAGCCCAACCGCGGGGCCCGCCTGTGGCTCGGCACCTTCAACACCTCCACGGAGGCCGCCCTCGCGTACGACGACGCCGCAACCAAGTTATACGGCACCAGCGCCAAGCTCAACCTCCCCGACCGCCACCACCGGCTCGAGCCTTCCTCCGCCGCCAACCAAGACGCCGGCTCACGCCTGCAGCCACTAGTCATGGATAATGGTTTTACGACGACGAGTTCTAGTACTACCGCTACTAATGTTAATCACGATGATGATGATAATAATAACAATATTAATAATAATAACAACAATAATATGCCGATTTTCGGTTGGCCGGAGATTTGTCAGGTAGGGAGTGAAGATTTTGGAGTTTTATTTGGTGGAGAGGATGATCAGTTTGTCGATTCCAACAATATTGGCTTCCCATCTCCTTGGAGCTTGTGATGTTGGTCAATATCTTTGCATATGAACTTGAACTACAACAATGGTTAGTGCTAGTTAGCTTGTGTACAAATTACAATTTTTGTCTTTTCTTTTCTATTCTTTTTCCTTTTTTTTTTCTAATAGTCGGATTTTTTTCTTTTTTTTTTTTGGGTACGAATATTGATTCTAGTTGTATATTTGGATATGGTTGGAGTAGTACTTTCTTCTATCCCTTTTTCTTTCGTCTCTTTTTAATCATCAACGAAATTGTTTCTTTTATTTTGAGGGTTGGAAACTGGAATATCTGTGTGCTTTGTGTTTGTACACAGTACACACGCGGGTACTCGGTCACTCTAGTACCAGAAGGCTTACATATTGCTTTATTTTGATGCTAAACGACATGTAGTTTCTTGTAGTCACAAACTGCACGTCGTTGTAGTGTGTTATCCTCGCCTGAATAAACAAGCCACACGACATTCGTTTATCTCAATGTCGTTGCTTACATGAACGAATTGACATGTATTTACTTTGAAGAAAAATAAAGAAAATCGTTATTTGTTTTGACCAGACGACATGTCCTCTTTATTTGATGATGAAAACTGCATGTAGTCGAATGGCGTTGTCTTTTTCCTTTACCCGGAAACACGTATTGTTTTTATTTCTATTTTTTGTTTTTATTGCACCAAAAATCGTTTTACAAACTTTTTTATTTTTTAAAAAATATAAAAAACAAAAACAGAATCATTCTAAACACGGCCTTTATTATTATTTTTTTTTTAAGACTAAGGTATCATCATCACTATAATTTTAAGTAAATATAAGAGTAATGTTAGCGTCAGAGGTTAATGTCACTCTCTTTATCACTTTATCACCTTTTATATTTACTATTTGACGCATAATATAATATATTATTATTTAAATATAAAATTAGATAATTGAATTTACGTGTCAGCCAATAAATACAAAAATTAACAAAAAGTGAATACAAAAATTAACAAAACAATTAACACATCAACACCAAATAGAAAATCCTAGATAAGGGTATGCGAGATTTGTAATTTACTTAGTCCCAAAATTGAAGTGTGAATATGCGGTTACTGAGAAAATGTCTAGCGATAATTACCATGAATAGATATTGCATTTGTTTTTTATTAGCAAATATATTTGTTATTTTTCCGCGCAGTCAGCACGCCAAACACTTGTCGTATACATACTAAAGAGAAGATAAAAAGGGGAAAGAAAGAAACAAAGAAACGGTTTAAACACGCATTACCGATACCGATGTAAATGAATGTCGTTCATTTGTTGCATTAATCTTGAAGGCATAACTTGATGAGGCACAAATTATGGAGCTAGCCCATTAGCATTTACAAATAGATGCAACATTTATCTGCCGCGTAGAGAAGGAGAAAGTGAGAAACCGCCCACCAAACACAATAAATGACTTGCAACTAATTGCTTGTTATTTCACACCTAGAGAGGCCCTTAACTCGACCTAGTCAACTATATAACAAAACGACGAATAAAGGAGAGATAATGAAAAAGAAAAACGTTTGGTCCTTCCACAACAAAATGACATTGACTAATGAGAAGATAAGAATACCAGCTTAAAATTTAAGTTTTATTAGAGTAAAAAAATTTAAAAAATAGTTATATTTAATTTTGTATTACAGTAAAAAGTTCTCATATAAAATTACATATCAACTCAAATCAGCGAACTAAATGAGCTCAAAATCTATAGACATTGAAATATATTGGATCATTAGTTTTATTTTTTTCTTTTTTGTTTACTGTATTTTCCATTTGTATTTGCCGACAATATTATGTGTACTTTTAAAATTATAGTAAAATCCAAAAATATCCTCTAGTGAAATTTAGTTTAATTGTCATGTTTCCTATTCTTTTTTTCTCGGAAAATTAATTGACCTATAAAAAATTAGAGGACGTTTGGTTGATGGATTCAGAATCATTTTCAATTTACGTGTGTTTTTTTGTAAGAGAAAATACTATAACGAGCTACGAATCATGACACGAATTCTTAAACCAAACGCACTCTTCTACTATGAGCTCCACTCACCAATAAAATTCTACCACGTAATCAGACATCCGTACTTGGATAGCCTCTTCCCTTGGCGGCAATTAGGAGTGGCAATTCGTGTCACGTGCCGTGTTTTGATCATTTTTTTAAAATTTACAGTCAACCCGAACACGACCCGTGACACGAAATTTTTTAAAAACCGCAACACGAACACGACACGACCCGAAAATGACCCGTGACACGAAATTGACCCGTGAACCCGAAATTGACACGAAAATTATATACTTTTATTTAGTTTTTTACATATTAGAAATAACTTAAAATTCATAACACACTAAATTACAATAACATCAATTGAAATTAAGCAAATAATAGTATAAGATTTTGAGTATAACTATCATGATATCACAAGTTCATAATAAAATTTAAAATATGAAATGAAAAATATATGTATTTTTTAGTTTTTTACGAGTTTTGTGTCGTGTTCGGGTTAGACGGGTCAAACCCGAAATTGACCCGTATTTTTCGTGTCAATTTCAGGTCGACTCAATTCTGACCCGAACCTCTTTTTTCTCAACCCTAACCCGTAAAATTCGTGTCGTTTTCGAGTCGTGACCCATATTACCGGGCCTAGCGGCAATTAATCGTTGGATTTTGACAAATGTCCTTCCAAAAGCCTTTTATTCCTTCTTTATTTTCCTTTCTAACTGCCATAGTTAATGGATTTTTCACTTCATCGTCTATAGAAAACGACATGCACTATGTATACAGCTAAACATTTATATATATTTCCATTTTTTCTTATTGTTTCTTTTCTCTTTTTTTTTGGTTAATTATATTATATTTTGTTTTTTGCTCTTTTGGTCTTTCAAAAGTAACCGATTTTAGTCTAAGAACGGTGGAAAAAGTTTGTGCTCGAGTCAAACAGATACTGCACTGTCCTTCTAGCTCGTTTTGTGTCCATTTACTAGTCTGTCAATATGTTTAGTGCAATCTTCAACAAACAAAGTGAAAAAAAAAAATTATAAAAAAGCAATGGAGAAAATACACCAAGGGGATGGGCCCGTGAATATGCAAAACTACGGATTAGCCACATAATTATACATACATATATATATATATATATATACACTTTTTAATAATATTTATTTTTTTAGGGATGAATGCTTTTGGTATTAGAATAAATATGATATATAAATAAAAACCAAATTAATAATAAAAACACCTATGATTTTCATGCATTTATGCGTGTGACGTGACTTAAGCGACGCATAACAAGATATCAATGGTATTTCATCAAAGAAAAAGAAAAAGCATGTATCAATACCAGAAAGCAAATACAATCTTAAATGTTTTTGTCTCTGCTGATTTTGGATGGTGTAAAGGTTACAATATGACACTGATCATCGTAGTCTATTTTAGTTAACATCAAATAGATTAAGGATCATCTTCTTAGGTTGTCCTTTTCTTTTAATTGTCCAAGATCTAGCAAAAACAACTTCATGTGCAGCCACAACATGTTTAGCAATTGTAATCAAAACCATTGGAGCTCCCACAATTAAAAAATCACATCCTTTTCTTATGTTGTCATTGTCTGTTAATTGTCCAAGGTCTAGCAAAAACAACTTCTGTATCCCACAAATATTTAGAAAAAAAAGCCACTAGATATAGTTTCCTGATAAGAATCATTTTCTTATGTTGTCATTGTCTGTTAATTGTCTCCAGATCTAGCAAAAACAGCTTCATGTGCAGCCACAAAATGGTGCCATTGTAATCAAAACTATTCAAGCTTTCACAATTAAAACACACAAAACCAGCTAAAAAAGATACAGGGGAGAAAGCGATCAACAATCAACACGGGGATAATTAAACGGCATCAATTGTGGCCATTATAATCAAAACCCTTCAAGCTTTCACAATTAAAACAGAAAAAGAAATACTAAAACATTCTCAAAGAAAAGGATAGATCGCTGTACGGGGTGATTTAGCAACATCATTATCATAGTAATTAATGAAAATTTAAGCATCAATGATGGAAAATAGTAATAACAAGGAGGCTCTAGCTTCACCTTTTTATGTGTATAACCAATAGTACAAAAACTAGCCCATCAAAAAAATAATAATAATACAGAAAACTAGGCTTCACATAATTGATGAATAATTTTAGTAAATTTTGCATGGAAATGATGCCTGTCTGTGGTAGATGCAAGAATCTAAAGAAAATGTCATTTTATAGGCCTTAGTCATTCATGAATTACATTTTGCTCAAAAGTAGTTTTAACAAAGGTCAGAAATCAATAAATGTTGTCAAAAGTAGAATGGTTGGTGGATTTGTTGATAACCCTCCTTGAGGTTCTAGCTATGGGCCAATTTTATACAAACTTATCATTTAACTGTTTTACCTTTGGAATCTCAAATTTTTGACAAAAAACACGTAAAGTAATGCAAATATCTTGTACAGTACTTGTACTTGATCATGAAAAAGTAAGAAGAAAGGTTTTGTTCTGTGTGGATGAACTTGAAAGTTCAGTGTAAATATGATATGAGTTTCATTCCATTTGTATACTTTTGGAAGTGGCCCTTGTGAAGTTAAGAGCCTGAAAATATTGGCTTGGAGTTATTCTCTTCTCACTACTTCTGGACTCTATTGAAATGCTTGTCAATTAAACAGTTGTGGTTTGCTTGTATAGTTTTCTCTATATGAAGGGACATGTTGTAGAGGTAGCTGGCATCATTGAGACCCACACAGTTCACCATATTCACAATCAATACATAATGTCATCACAAAATTAAGAACGACGCTATAGGACACTTGTAATACTTAGCATCATCCACTAACAAAATGCGAGTCTTACAACATGAGGCATAGTTTCTATTAATAAATGAGACCTATCTTCTATTAGTGGAGGATGCTAAGCAGTGGTGGTGCTCCTAAGCGTTTTTCAAGGTAGAGCCTTTTCAATTTCTTCTGTTGTTTTCAATTTGCCCAGCTTATTTGCACATTGATAATAACTTAGCTTTTACTGTTATCCTGATTAGTAAGAAAAACGTAAATGAACCCAAAAATATCTGAAATTTTCAAGAGGTTACAAAACGTTTTTTCCATGTCAATATCAAGTTCACTTTTTGGTGATCACATCAAAATTCAGAAAATGAGTTCAGCCAGTTGGAACCCCTCTTTAGTCAGACTTGAGTCTTCAATATATTTGTACTCTCATTGCTTTTACATTGAAATTCAACCGTAAGAAAGGTGGCTTGATATTGTGTGTGCATAAAAATCTAACCCCACCTCATTTATTCTGTTCACATGGCTGAATATCTTTAGCTTTTTCTTTGTCCCTTCCTCTTTAATTAAGATTTAAGAAATAGTACTATAGAGGTAAGCTACAAAACCTCACTTTTTTCTTATTATCTGCAAAACAAGGTCGAGGGTTTTAATAATCACATAATGACCGGAAAAAAAGGTTCGGGTTTGGGAAGTAGATAAAGTGCTTTAAGTTTTTTAATTCAATAAGTTGAGACTATTGATTTGATGAGTGTAAATGATAGATTATTAAAAGTTTATTGGTGGTTGAGAAAATAATAAAGACGTGTATGATTATGACAATTTTTGTGGATGATTTGGAGTCGAATTTCAAACATACCACTTTTGTTACAAGTTATTTAAGCTTAATTTTCACCTCAAAATGGCACATATGCATAATTAGACTTCAAAGGCGGTGTAACACCTAAATAACATCAATTTTGTGGTTGAAAACAAGAAGAAAGTGTTTGTATTATTGTAATGTTATGTACGTAGTTAGTAGTGAATGGTGGATAAGGATGTGAAAATAATAGCTCAAATTCAAATAGCAGTTAATATATTACTATTGATAGTATAAAGGTAGTGGTACATTTGAAGGATAGTGGAAGTAGTAAATGTGAGAAAGAGCATAGGCATTGAAGTAAGAAGCAGAATTTACAACTCTCTAGCTAGCAAAATCCAATTTTGCATTTAATTAATCTAGCTAGCTCAGACACAAGTCTACCTTTAAATTAAAACATCACTATAAATTCATAGATTTTGACTTTCAGGAGTTCTATTTTCCCTTGCAGAAACAAGGAAACCATTTTAGTGCCGGATTAACATATATATATATATATATATATATATATATATATATAGAGGTTTAACCGCTTGGAAGTAGACCCCACCAGATTTATTTTGGCCACATGGAGTCTTAATCTTTTGCTAGTGCCATTATGCATGATTTTGTATAGTAAAAATGAAAGGACCAAGATGCAAAATGTATCTATCTTACATGAATTAAGAACGAGACAACGAGCTCTATAATATTGTGTTACACTCATATTACAAAGGCTAAAAACTGTTTCCAGGTTTGGCATTCTGAAAAACCAAAGTACGTACTGAAGTAAATTTCTAGTTTCAAAGTCTTCTTGGGGTCATCAATACAAAGTAAATTCAGAAATCATTCTAGTGTTTTTAACACGACTTTATAGCAAAACATTAGAACTCATAAAATTGGTGAAAAAGAAAAGATAAAGAGATGACAATGTTTATATTTTTTTTTTTATCTTATCTCACCCTACCCAACTAAGTAGAATTAATAGTGATATTCATAATGCCTCAGAATACGGGACAATTATTAATGCTAAGCTAAAAATAAGAGCGTAGCTATTGCTTACCTTTACACATGCAATTTCAGAAATTCGATTTATTGGTGAAACATATAAAACACTGTCACTATCACTTTGCTTCATAAAGATAGTACGCCCATTAAAGCTGTAAAAGGTAGGCAGCGTCAATAAACGGAATTTACGTATTATCCGGCTCCAAAAAGCTCACCCTAATTTCCACACTTGAATTCACAATACGACTCCTAAATTCCATCTATCTACTTCAATCACGTGAATTTTTCTCTACCCTCCTTTATATTTTTCCTGAACTGATCACTCCATACTTTTTTTTTTTTTTTTTTTCATGAAGTTAAAATATTATTGTTCTCGTGAATAAAATCGCGCGGTAAAACCGAGCAGTTAACTACAGAGAATTAGCATAATTTTGAAGCTACATTCTATTAGATCGTCGAAAAATGCTAAATTAAAATTTCAGCCAATTCGTGTCATAATCTGTTAGTCTCAATTGTAACACACTGCGTTGCTCGCATAATAAAAATAAATAGCAAGCGCGAACCATGCAAGGGAAAGTGTTACCAAACACAAAATACATGCCAAAGAAAGCGAATTACCCTCTCACGTATAATACGTACTTGGAAGTTGGAACTACTGGCATTACATTTTTTTGTAAAAGAGAGAACTCAACATATATAATTACTCTCATCAAGTGTTGGTGTGGTAGAACAAACCCACATTTAATATGATCTCCAGTAGTAGGAGTGCTAGCTACCAATTAGGGCACTATATAAAGCCAAGCCCTGTGCCCTTGTTTCGCATTGACAAGTAATAACTAGTAAGAGCAAGTGCCTAGTAACGTCGTTTCCAATATGGATAGCTCTTTTGGTGTCGTTTCCTCCATAGTACTAGGAGCACTAGTGATCACTCTGAGCAGCTTTGGCTTTCAAGCTGAGGCCAGAGCTTTCTTCGTCTTCGGAGACTCTCTCGTCGACAACGGCAACAACAACTACTTGGCTACCACTGCCCGTGCCGATAACTACCCTTACGGCATTGACTACCCTACTCACAGACCCACCGGTCGTTTCTCGAACGGCCTCAACATTCCTGACCTTATCAGTTAAGTTCTTTTTTCTTTTTTTTTTTAAAAGAAAAAAAAAAAAAAACCAACTTGTTAAAAATTACTAATCATTTGCTAAAACTAACTTTTGTTGCATAATGGTGTTATAACACTAGGTGAGGCAATTGGGTCAGAGCCAACATTGCCATACTTGAGCCCTGAGCTCACTGGTGAAGGACTTCTTGTTGGTGCCAACTTTGCCTCTGCTGGGATTGGAGTTCTCAATGACACTGGGATTCAGTTTGTAAGTGACTAGACAAGTTGCTTTTTTAGTATCATTATTTTATCATCATTACTTTTTGAAAAGGATATTTTGTACTATATTGTTTGGTATTCATCTGAGCAAATGTTGCGTCACAAATGTATTACATTTTTTTAAATCTTTTTCAGCTGAATATTATTCGTATATACAAACAATTGGAGTACTTTCAACAATACCAAACAAGGGTTAGTGCTCTTATTGGAGCAGAGCAAACTGAAAGACTTGTGAATGAGGCATTGATTCTCATCACCCTTGGGGGCAATGACTTTGTGAACAACTACTATTTGGTGCCTTTCTCCGCCAGATCTCGCCAGTACTCCCTGCCGGACTACGTCGTCTATGTGATATCGGAGTATCAGAAAGTTCTTGCGGTAATTGTCTGTTGTTCTTGCTAGATTACTACTTAAAGGCACTCTAACTTTTAACATCTATGGGATGTTTGTTTTAAGAGTTCGTCTCTGGTTTTGAATTATGATTTTTTATTCTCTACAATATTTTTCTCCCATAAAAAATTTAAATTTCAAAAATTAAAATCATGAATTATGGTTTTAAACCGATGAACCAATCGTTTCACTAATGATTATTAGTATGTTCTACAAGTTGACTAGTCTAGGCATAAGCTTCAAAAGGAAAATAGTCACAAGAAAGTAGGAAAAGAGTAATGGTTAAGTGGGGGCACACATTTATGGATTCGTAGTTATTGTGGGGGATACGTTAAGTGTTTTGGAGAGGCAAGTGAGTTATGGAAAGCTCGCTTGGTTGGTGAGATCAACATGCATTTTGCATTTGCATTAATGACCCCTTTTATTTATTTATTTTTTTTCAAGAGGCACATCTGATTGTTACTGTCCACCCCTCTTGTCATTTAGATACGCCTTTTCGGGAAGAAATCAACATTAATGTAGAATACTTTCTCCTTTTTTTTTTTTTTTCATTATCTGCATCATTTACATATCTCTTTTTCACCAAACCAACCCTTTTTTTCCCCATAATAACACCATACTGACTTGAGCAACCTTTCCTTTTTTACATCAAACTAAACTCTTATATTAATTAACTATCCTTTTTCTTTCACCACAACAAGGGTCTTTAATTGTATAGTTACAACAAGATTCATATGGATATAATGTTATATAATACCATTGATTGACCAACTAAAAATAGATTCACATGTCAACTTTGAGATCTACAAGTTACGACGCTCGCACAATTTTATTATGATCTTTGAAATATAAAATGCAGAGACTATATGAGTTGGGAGCAAGGCGGGTATTGGTGACAGGTACTGGACCATTGGGATGCGTCCCAGCAGAGTTGGCCATGCGCAGCCCAAATGGCCAGTGCGCGGTCGAGCTGCAGAGAGCTGCCGGACTATTCAACCCCCAACTTGTGCAAATGATCAATAGGCTCAACAGTGATATTGGTTCGGATGTGTTTGTTGCTGCAAATGCATTTGAAATGCACATGGACTTTATCTCCAACCCTCAAGCATATGGTATGAACCTTAACCTGCAACATTTGTTTTTCTTTTCGTGTCTTTTGGTTTTTTCGAGTACAATATCAGGAACAGTTATTCTGATTAAATCATAATAATGCTAATAAAGAATGGTAGAGGGAATAACCATATCCTGAAGAAAAGTAAATGTGATATTGATTGGTGGTCTCCTTAAGTAAATGAGAAATAATGAACGTGGGCCCCTCTATGTTGCACAGAATTTAGTTGGAGAGGGCTAAGAAGTATGGGCCATGTCTAAAACTTTGAGCCTATCAAACACAATGGACAAATGTTAGGACTTTTCCATTGACGCGCTGTCCATCGTCGATGTAACAAACCACATAAAAACACTGCCAAGTTGTTACTTTCATCACTCAATCATATTCCTTGTCGCAAAGAAAGCTTTGCAACAATCATATTGTGAATAAAAGAATGTGGATAATCTGAAGCCTCCCGTGCTTTGCAATTAAGCAGCTCACTGAAATATTACAATCCGCAAAAAATTTTCAAGCCATTCGACACAATCCCATTTCTCCAAATTTTCAGTAACAAGATTGTGTTTATGGGTAATTTTGCAGGATTTGTTACATCAAAGGTAGCATGTTGTGGACAAGGACCTTACAATGGTTTAGGGCTTTGCACTATAGCATCAAACTTGTGCCCAAACAGAGACATATATGCTTTCTGGGACGCATTCCATCCATCGGAGAGGGCAAACAGAATAATAGTGAGGAATATTTTGGAGGGAGACTCCAAATACATGCACCCAATGAATCTCAGCACTATTATGGCCTTGGACTCTAGGACCTAGAGGAGATATTACTCTTTCTTCACTTGTTAAATTGTCAATTTTCACTTTGTCGCATGTGTCTTGTCATTGTTACTATCACTAGGTTTTTTTTTTTTTTTTGGAGTGAATTATCATCATTAGTTATTCCTCAAGGTCCGCTAGAAAATTCCATTGTGGTGTTTCAATAAGTAATGAAATTAAGAATGTCCTGTATTTGTATTTCAATAAGCACTACTGGAATAAAAAGAAAATAATAATTTGATAGTCCCCCCAAAAAGCAAAAAATGAACACTATAAACTTCGAAACCACAAACATCCCCACATAACATATTAACGTCTAATATCCTAGAGTCTCCATACCAATCCCCCTAATAAAGTCAGTGAGGCTGCATCAAAGTGTAATTCCCGGTTCCTGCTCATCAAGATCCTTTGTTGAAGGAGCTAAAGAAAATAAAAATGATATCCATTAGGATGAACTAATCATCTTTCTCGCCCCTGGCATTGATACCAAACTCTCCATGTAAACAAAAGCGTGAATAGACCTGTCGTTAAAAAAATGCAGCTTCATATTTCTAAGCTTTTGGGTACGTAAGTTGTACGAAGCATAGAGGCCTATCTCAGATGTTCGCAAAAGGAGTTCATCACTCTTCCAAAATACTAATGGATAATATTGAAGTGTCCCGCCGAAAAGTAAATCTGCACATTTAGTCCAACAGAAAGATTTTTCTTGGCAGCTGCTAGAGATTTCATCCAATATCCACATTTTGATGGGCTGTGCATATGAATTCGGCGCTATGCTTTTGACATACTTAAACAAAGTGACACTTTCTTTCCACAAACCTAGCTTCCAGTGGATAATTTTTGTGCTAGATGTGGCTCTAAACTCCTGCAGATCATGATCTTCTGGAAGTGGTATAGTTTGAAATTCCTCCACATGCATATCAAACGAAATAAGCATGTTCTTCATAAATTTATCATCTATCACCCAATAATAGATTCCTTTGTGATACAACTCATCGAAAGTGAGAGATGTAATGTCAATTTCTATCTTCATCTTAATCTCCCTCCAAGAATCACGATTACCCAACGTACATATCTCGGCTGCAATGCAAGCACCAACACTGGTACCATGGAGGCGCACAACTCTGACAACTTTGTAAACGTTGGCAATGGCATCATAGCCAAATCCAACCATGACTTGTGTTTTAAAGTTGGATCCAAAGCATGAACTCCGAAGAAGCTTAAATTCCCTAATTGCCGGATTGCATAACAAAACCTTGTCCGTGTCCTTGTCTGGTAAGAAAAGGATACCATTACAATGAGAGCCACGTACACCAACTACAGATTCAGGCACACTGAAATCTCTAGTAGCGAAGCAAATTGGGTCGTTGCCACCATCTTCTTTGTTGATAGTCATAAATGAATTTGATGCATCAGAATTTATAGTTTCATAAGGTAGGTTGACGCTGGTCCTCTGAAATAAGGATGCACCGCGTTCAGAATTCTTGAAATGCTTTGCCACAAACCATTGGCTTGTTATAAGAGTGCTTGTGAGAGCACACCATGATTTGTGAACACACTTAAGCTGTAATAAAGACTTAATAGGTAGCCAGGACATGATTTCCGCTACTACCTTTTCAGGAAGATCGCAAAAACCTGGCATTCTCCTTCAAATAACAAACAAGTTTATTTAAATATCAAATAACAAACACCTAGATATTCAAGACTCAAAATCAAAGCATACAAGGTTTTTACAGAAATTTATATTGTAAGATTAATTTTTGATAAATTGAAGACTCAAAACAATCAAAATCATATATAAGCTATGACAAACTTAGATATGCATGTAAGATATATATATATATATATATATATATATATATATGTCTTTATCTTGTGCCTTAGATATATTTGTCTTTCGATGGAAATATTGATAATTGGGATATGTAAAACTCACGTTGACTTCTCCATGTTGTAAAATCACTACATATATATAAGGTCATTGATATTGACAGGGTCGAGTTAGAATCAAACAAGCAATAACAACAAGAAGCATTAAACTATTCCAAATTCATCCAGATTTTTCCATAAATTTAAAATTAACATTATTGCCTTTCAATCGGATTTCTCACTCCTTTCTTTTTTCCTTCACCAATTGAATTCAAATGCAAACCATAAAAACAAACACCATATAATCAAACATAAAAAAAGCATAATCTCTCATAAACTGGCCACGAAATTATAGAGAGAAAAAGAAGAATCCCCTCACCTTGTATCGCCGGGTTCAAACCCTTCTCCAATCCTCCCATCGTCCATTCTCGGCCGCTTATACGACGATGGCAGAGGCGGAGGCGGAGGCGGCGAACGGCGGGGTGGCGAGTGGCTGCCGTCCCGATACGGCGGAGGGGGCTGGGGGGACGAGGACCGTGAACGATCCTCGGCGGAATTCTCCTCGCGGTCGAGAATCACCTCCGACATGGTAAGGGGAATTTTGGCTCTAGGGGGCAAATGAAACCCTAGTAAAGAGCAATTTCTGCGAATCCCAGACTTCTGTCTTTAGAATTCCGCCACGGATCCTTTCATTCGAATTTTTAGTTTTAAAATTTTTAAAATTAAAAGCTTTAAAGTCTCGATATTTTATTGGAATGTTTTTTATAATATAAAAAATTATTGTTTCAAATAATCCGCTTTAAAATTTAAAGGGATTGTTCATTTATATTTTTTGAGTTAAGATGATTTAAGTTCAGATCTTGATTTAAATTAAAATATATTTTAGTATGATTTGAGTTGAAACTCTAATTTGAGTTTGTGTTTAGATATGTACATTTTGAATTATAATTTGAATTGAAAATCTATTTGAGTTTGTGTTTGGGTGGGTCAAAACTTGAATTTGTATTTAGAAAGTATTTTAATAAAAACTTAATCGTGATAAAAAAATTTAATAATGTATATGAGTGGGGTTTTGTTCATCTATTCATTGTGAACTCATAGAAAAAAAATCATCTCAATCAGAATTAAAATGAAAAAATTATGATGTTTTTAAGAATAGAAAAAATACTATTAATTAACTTGAGTTTGAGTTTAAGAACTTGAGTTGAAGGGAGAACTTGAACTCATATTTTAGCCCCAAGCTCAAGTTAAAACTCAAATTCAAACACAAATTTGTAAAAGAATAACTTAAATAAAGTTGTAACTTAAGTTTAAACTTTTTTGAGTTTTAGTACAAATGAACAAACTCAAATTAAACAAACAATATTTACTTTATTCAAAAATATTATAAAAAATATAAAATTACGAAATAACACATACGTCGCATTACAACATACAAGCTAAAACAAAAAACTAATAACTAGATTAGATATTTGACGTATAGAAATTATAGATCAAAGTCGAAAAAATATAGCAGCTATATACTAAAACAATTAAAACAATAAAAGGTAAACCTTAGATGTAATTAATTATGATTATATTTGCTAAATGTACTCTATTAACTACTTTGAAAGATAAGCAACACCTTGAAGTACGCAATGTCGTTAATTATGTTTTATTATGCTTTCGTAGTCTCCATTATATTAGGCAATGTAGTTTATTATGCTTTTCTAATTTTAGTTTTTTGTTTACTATTATATACATCAGACGTTTTTAATTACCAATTAACCTTTTAAAATTCATCAAATTCAATCTAATCTAATACAATGAAAGCCAAAAATTTTAACATCTTTTATCTAAATAAGTTACTCTTTCGTCTTAACATGTCGCTTGCCGATGACGCTTGCCTTTTATACAATTGGGGAAAACATATTTGCTTCCTACTTGGTCGATGTGAGACTCCAAACAAGGAGCCACCACACAACAAGAGGAGTTTCAATGTCTAACATGTTACATCAATTGATATATAATAATTAAAATTTTTTCTTTTTAAAAAAAAAAAAGATTTGAGCGGATGTTATAGCATTATTCAATAAAATAATAAATAATTTTATTAGTATTAAATTTATTATTATGAATATTAATTGTAAAAAAAAAAGCAAGTCAATTAAAAAATATGCTAAAATAAAAAATAAAAAATAAAATCAAATAATTAGAAATTTTTTTAAAATTTGAATTCTGATTCAGAACAACTAGTTGCTAAAAAAAAATCCACTCATTTGATCAATCCACCCTACAAAACAAGAAAAAAGCTCTCCCTCCCCCTTCTTTCCCTGCATACCGTTCTTTCCGCCCTTTCATCCACCTTACCAAAACAAACAGATCCTAAAGGACAGTTGACTTTAGTCAAATAATGAAGTTGACTAATACGGCTTGGTATTTTTTCCAATTAATTAATAATAGGTGGGGACATGATTTTGGACTGAGATTCGTTTATTTTATCACTTTAAGTTTAAATTTAAATTTTATTATAATAAAATATTTTAAAAAATAATTATATTTAATTTTTTTATTATAATAAAATTTTTTTATAAAATTATATATTAATTTAAATTAAAAATTCGAATTAATAAATTAAACCGTATTAGGCTAAGGATAGAAACCCTCGCTGATCCTCCTCTGACACGCTAAGCTGCTTGCCTCAGTTCTCTCCGATCTATCTCATCTCTCTCTTGCTCACTCATTCTGCCAGTCAGCCTCTCCCCTGTTTTGCTCACTCTCTGCATCTCTCCTCTCCCTCGCAGAATCAAAGTTCAAAGCTTTTTCTTTATCAGGTTTGGTAGCTGTTTTTTTTAATCAGTACTTTGTCTTGATTTTTCTCTGGGTTTCGTTTTATTGGAGCTTAAATGAAAATAAAAAGAAAATAAAAAGAGGTCGAAGTTTTCCGAATTTACAGCCCTGTACAATAAAGACTGTATTTTTATGGCGTTTTGTTCTCTTAATATTTCTTTATTTCTTTTAATGAATTTTCTCATGTTCAAGTGATGCCTGTTAGATGCTCTTCTGATAGGAAATTATATATATGTATGTATGTATGTATATAATTTCTGTCTTTTTTTTTAGGTGCAATGGCTCCTTGATGACAAACAGATTGTTGTTGATGTATGTATGTATGTATGAAGCTTTTGATCTTTAATCTCCCATCAGAATCTAGCCGCACTATTCTAAAATCCCACATGCGGGGAAAATTCGCCTTTATCACAGCCGTTGATCCATCACTTGCAAACAAACACAAGCCCGTGCCATTTACCGCCATGAACAACACCACAAAGATGGAGTCCTTGAAAGCCTTGGTGTCCATGGAAAGCGTCCAATAACTCGTCCCTTTCCATTGCGTGACCGCGTCGCCGTCTGTAACTGATAGCCGATAATCCCTGGTTCATAAGTCATCCGTTGACCTCCAACTCACCAGCGATTTCCCGACGAGCAAGCGTTGTCCGAGGACTAATATGTCCGTCGGATAATCGAAACTCTGCCAGAGAGAGACGTTGCGTTGGTCAACCAAAATGAGGTTACCGGTGTCTAGAAGCCCGAGAGCGGCGACCTTGGAGGAGAGTTTAGGATTGGACCATACGACATGTCCAGGCTCAGCGGCGATGGCGAGACCGTCGACGGTGAGAGAGGGCTTGGAGGATTCCGACACGGGGGTACCACGGTTGGCGGTCCAAATGACGGTGGAGGAGGGGGCGTGGACGATGCAAAGTGATAGTAAATAGGGTGTGACTGAGACTGGGAGGTGGATCTAATGGAAGCTTTGTAAGTGGCGTTAATGGAGAACAAGAAATCACCTCCATGGTCAATGAACTGGTAGTTTGAGGCAGTGAAGTTTGGGAGAATGGAGTGGATGGAGGTGGGGCCAGAGGAGGTTAGAATAGGAAAAGAGTGGAAAAGCTGTACATGAGCAGAAGGTGAAAGATGGTGAAGAAGGAACCCTGCATAATTAGGTAAAGATTAATAATGGATTTGGGTTTCGTTTGAAGAAGTTAATAATATTGGTTCTTGGCTTCCATTATTAGCATGCATTTCTTGGCATGCCTGTCATTTATAAAAGAGATACGGAGATAGATGAGTTGCAAGTCAGAGTCAGATGCAGTTGAGTTCGTGTGATAAATAAATGCATGCGTTGACTTCAGAAATGAAGGAGAAAGCTTTACGTGCCCATCGACGCCAGAAATGGATCAAATGGCCTTCATATTCATTTCATCTAATTAACATCATAACTGTACGTAATGCATGATAATTGAAAGGTGATGAGTATTGTGTGATTTGTTTTGTTGTTAATTAGAAAGCCAGCGTCCATCATGTCAATGTTTTGGGTGCTTGTATAATTATATGCGTTTGGTTGGTATATTTGTGTCATAATTTAAATCATAATTCATGAGTCGCTACAGTATGTTTTCTCACAGAAAACACACGTAAATCAAAAATGATTCTGAATCCATAAACTAAACGCCCACTAATAGTTTACAACTTTTTAAATAATATTTAGCATTTTACTTTTTCTCATGTCCTCTAGTTCTCACCGCTCTACCCACGGGGAGAACAGGAGTCCTATTTCTCCATTGCCCATGCATCACATTTGACTTATACCATTTCAGAGAACGCGAAAAATGGTCAACCCTTTCTGTTCCAGTAAAAAATATACCTTGGATAATGAATCATAAATGAGCCTTAAAAAAGAGAGGAGAAAATAAAAGGAAAATAGTAGAGAATTGGCCTATTTCCCTATTTCTTCTAAAATAAAATTTTGTGCTGGCCCAAATATAAAAAAAAGGCATTAAATATACACGTTTTAAAACGTGGAGTGATGGTAAAAGGGTGCATCAAATATGCACGTTTCAAAACGTGGAGTAATGGCCAAAAGAGTGGAAAGTAACTCTTACGGAATTCTCTTATATAAAGAAAGAAGCAAGAGAATAAAAAAGAGAAGACCTTTATTGGAGACATAGGCGTTGGCGTTGGTGTGTGCAGCAAGGTAAAAGAGTGTGCAGCAAAAAAAAGTGTGTGTAAGGTGTGTGGAAGAAAAGTGAGAGAAAAACAAAAGTGTGTGTGTGCAGGTGACAGTGACGTGAGGGAAAAAAAAAAGAAAATACATCCTCAGAAGTGCAGTGTGGTATTTCGAAACAAGAAGGTAAATACATGTTTTGATATTTTTGTCTTCTTCCGCACTAATAGTTTTAGTTTTTGTGTTATTAAACAGATACAATGCATTTAAATTAGTCTTATATACACTTTAAAGTGTGAGATTGTGATTTACTCCTTGACTCTCTCTATGAGCCTTATGGCGTGAGATTTCTTATTTGTATTACAATAACAACAACAACAGCCTTAATCCCAACTTAATTGGGGTCGGCTATATGGATTTTACTTTTCCATGCAGCATGTTCGAAATTAAACTTTCCTGAAGGTATAGATTTAGAATATATTTCCTAACTACTTCAGTCCACGTAATTCTTGGTCTACCACTCCCTCTCCTAGTATTAGGTATAATAACGTCTTTTCAAGCACGAACTGGTACTTCTAGCGGTCTACGTTGGACATGCCCGTACCACCTTAAGCGGCATTCTCGCACCTTATCTTCTATTGGTG